TAATTATGATTCACATTTTATCTATTTTGTTTGAATGCGCACGTTTAATTGAATTAAAAAAAAATAAATTAATTGATTATCAAAATGTCGTAACAAAAACTAAAATAAAAGAATAGAGAAAAAAAGCTTTTTATATAGTGATCGCATTTCCCATCTTATTGTACAAGTTTTAAATTTTGCGAAATAAATTAGAGCACATTTTTTAAAATGTGGGGTATGAATTGCAATAGCAAGAAACAAAATTAATGAATTCAAGTAGCGTTAAAGTTTCCTTGTGAGAACAATAATATTGTATCAGAAGTGACATAGGTATACATACATACATACGTTTTTGTGTAAGAAAATCACAATACAATACATAATTATTACGGCACCATTATAGCAATGTAGCATTAATCATCATAAAGTAGAAATCGTAATGCACATTTAAAATGTATTTATTGTAAATTTAGTAAAGTAATAGTCCTCACTGGTCTTCTTAACGGGCATTGTCAGTTTAAATGGGACTTACTAAAGTTGGGTCTGGAGCACATATTGACAAATTCTGCATTAAATAGGAGAAACTTCGAAGTATCTTCTTTTAAAATGTACAGATTTGATCCACAAGAGAAAGCAGTCCCTTCGTGACGTAAACTTAATAGCTGCAATGGGTTGAATTCACAGGGAATACACTGGTTGATCTCGGCGGAGTAATTTTGCAGCATGTCTGATACTTATTCAGGAAACACAACAGATCCTACCAATAATGAGCCAGAATGCTATGTCACCCCTATACTGCAAATTCACAACTTGTCAGTTAGCATTAATAATTCATTAATTCAATTCTAAATTGTTATGACCACAAATAACGTGACATTGTTTTATTTCATTTAAAAATCTCAAATTTTTTTGCTCGTTTTGCTTCAAAGATTTTATTAAATTCATCTCGCCTTAAAACAAAAAGTGTCAGTAGGTTTTTCTTCAGAAAACAATCAACTTTTTTGCTTACTTTTCTACCTTCAAAGTTTATTTCTTTCAAGAAAAAAACTTGTCGGAATTTTAAAGAAGAACTTACAAAAAAAAAAAAAAAGAAACAAGAGTTGTTTTGAAAGTCAATGCACTCCTACATTCTGAATTCTAAATTTTGGCTGTGTCATCATTATTTTATAAAAATAAATTCTTCATTAAAATCTTGGTACTTAATAATTTCATTCATGAGTGGAGTTTTGCTTAAACTTTTTTTTATATGATTTTTTTATAGTTGAAAAAGTACATAGAAAATTTTTTAAAACCGTTAAACATTCATAAGTGATTACTCTATTGAAAAGTTGTTTTATTTCATTTATTCAATAAAATCATGGGAAATAGGACTTACAGTATAGAAACACAATTTCTGTGTACATGTACTTATGTATATACGTTGATAATTTTAAATTAATGTTTACATAGAACATGAAATTTATAGCAAACTTTCCATAAATATAGAATTTCAATTCATGATTAGCTATAACGAAATCTAAATAATATTTTAATAATAGAAGTTTATTATTATTGCATATACATACATATGTACATCTTTCTAGTCTTTGCATATAATAAAGCTTTTCGTGTGACTTATTCAGCTGAGAAATGAAACAATAAGATTTTTAATAACCAAAACTAATACAAATTCAATCAAATTACGTACTTATTTAAAAGAATTGTTGGCAAAATTTAAATAAACCATTTTTAATTTTATTTATTTTCAATCAATCTTCCGCATTCTTCTCTTTCCCAATTTAAATAAATTTTTAACCAGAAACATGTGCAGAATTTTATTTTGAATAGCAATATCGAATTTATGAGTTGAAATATAAAATTTCATGAAAATCTATTGACTTTTTCCTTGAATAAGGGTAAAACTTTAAATTTGACCCCTAATAAAAATTCGGTTTATAGTACCAGATTTCCCCAAAAGCTTCCTAGTTTGTCACATTTTCAGTCAGAAATCATAATATAAAATTTTAAAGAAATCTACTGTTACTTATTTTCTTAAGATTTATCAGAATTGTAAATTCAAACTGTGTAACTGTAAATATACAATTGCGACTGTATACCGAAAATATATTATTTAATGCTTATTATTTATAATTATGCTCTTATTTTCAGTCACTCTGTTCTTGATTTGTTAAAAAAAAGACAAATATTTATTTACGACAAAACCGTAATGATATTACAATACTAATATTGTAAAATAGTACGGAAATTCAGTGAACTATGGACAATGTATTCAAATTATAGTTTTATTTTAAAATGCACAAATAAAATTTGATTTGTTGTTAAAACCAGGATGGCTTTTCAACTTTATTTAAGTAGCAAGTTTTTTAAGCAGTTTTTAACAATATTTTTAAATCGAAATAAGAAAAAGTAAACGATAAGTAAACATATACATACAAAAGCAAAACCAATTCAATGACTTGCACAAATAAAACCTTTTTTCAAATTTTACGGTAATTTAAAAATGCTTTTCTTTCAACAAAAAGAAAAAAGAAAAAGGAATGAAAACAACAAATACGATATTTAAATGTTTGTCTTTCATCTTAAATCATAAGCATTTCTCCCTAACCTTTTGTGAAATTCATCAGGGATTAAGGTCAAGGTAATTTAAAATTTTCAACCCGGAGGTTATTAAATAATCAAAAAATACTTAAAACAACCAAAAAAAATCTGATGTGGTCAGCACATAACCGACCGCATTGTGTATTGTCTAGTTAAATGAAAGTGTTACAGAATATTATAAAAATGTCTGTTAAATACTTCTTTCCAATTTTTAGGACATTAGTAAGCTTATAGTTAACATACTTAGAAAAATGTAAATTTGGCTCTTAGTAGAGTTTCGCTTTGTGCTACCCGAATTCCCTGAAATGCTCGCCAGTTAGTTTCGGCAACAACCAGAACTCAAATATCAAATTTCAAGAAATTCCATCAATTTGTTCTGTAGATATGGTGAAAAATGCAAAATCGGCCCGCAAATCAGTTCTCGAGCCCTGATCTTTCCAAAAAATTTATATGTTCATTGCTTTAATATGAGGAGTTCATATATTAAATTTCAATGAAATCGGTTGATTATTTCTCTTTATATACACAAAAGTGTATGTTTGGCCCGTAGTAAACGTCCAGTTGCCGATGCCTGATCTTTCGAAAAAATTTACATGTTCATTGTTTTAATACGGGGAATTTATATATTAAATTTCAATGAAATCGGTTGATTATTTCTCTTTATATACACAAAAATGTATATTTGGCCCGTAGTAAACGCCCAGTTGCTGATGCCTGATTTCTTCCAAAAGTTAGGAATTTTTGCGTATGATCGAGCAAAGCTTATATATGAAATTTCAAGTAAATCGGTTGAATACTTTCTTCAAAATGGTGAAAAATGTAAAATCGGCCCGCAAATCCGTTTTCGAGCCCTGATCTTTCCAAAAAATTTATATGTTCATTGTTTTAATACGAGGAGTTCATACATTAAATTTCAATGAAATCGGTTGATTATTTCTCTTTATATACACAAAAATGTGTATTTGGCCCGTAGTAAACGTCTAGTTGCCGATGCCTGATTTCTTCCAAAACATACGAATTTTTGCGGATAGTCGACCTGAGCTTATATATAAAATTTCAAGTAAATCGGTTGAATACTTTCTTCAAAATGTTCCAAAATGTAAAACAGGCCCGCTAAAAAGTGCAGTTCCCGAGGCCTGATATATACCAAAAGTTGATCGATCCGTGCCATGGTGGAAACAAACTTACATATAAAATTTCATCAAAATCGGTTCAGCCGAACTTGAGATACACGCGTGCACACACAGACCGACAGACGGACAGACGGACAGACCGACAGACCGACAGACCGACAGACCGACAGGTTGCTAAAAATAGTTTATTTACACTTCCCTACTATGGAGAAGTACGTTCCCACCGAAAACTCGATATGCAAAATTTGTTGCCATCACATAACCTACCTATTGTTTACACAATACGGTCGGTAAAAAAACAAATAAATTTTATTTTTCGGCAAATCAAGAAAAACTGAAGAAGTTAAAAGAATATGGAGAAATTTTTATCAAAAGAGATTTGCTTGTTTTTTTAACTTTAATGTTTAAAAAATCAAACTGAAGGGAAAGTATATTAAAATATCTCTTTTTGGAATGATGAGAAAAGGAGCTACTTCACTCATTATTGTTTTATTTGTTTTACTTACTAATAAAGGATTATTATAAATTTTTTCTATTTTGTGTTTACTTTTTATCTTGAATTTAACTTTTCAATAATATTCCTTTCACAATAAGCTAAGAAAAAATAAACAATAAATATTAATAACATTAAATAATTGATATAAAAGAAAAAATTATGGCATTTACCTAGTTAAGACTCTGTGACGCAATGAAACTAGGGCATGACTATTCCTGATATCATGCACTAGCCCTATGCTCCTCCTAGGAGTAAGGAAGAAAAAAACAAATATTCCTTTCTTAAAGTGGATAATGTATGTACTTAAGGGCCTGATCATCTATCTCGCCATTTTAGTCGGAAAAAAAGTAAGCAACTGTCGCGTATTTGTATAATGTGAGAAGAATTATTTGGTATTGCGTATCTCGTTTTTTTCTAAATTTTTATATACAAAATTTATTCACTTTGTTTTTTAAAGTGAGACGTTCAGTCGGTAATTTGAGAAAAAAAATTCAAAAATCCAATTAAAAAGATAAGTAATCTTATTGGAAAAGTGAAGCATCCTTTAGAAAATAATGAGAATTCTAATTTGAAAGTGAATAAAAAGTGAGTAAAATTGCGGGATCAGACTGTTAATATAAGGTAACACGAATAATTTTATTAAAAAAACTATTGATAAATTTTAAAATTTTAAAAATCGTTTTACCAATTAAAGATAATTTTTCTTAACTTTTGGAAAAATTGAGGATTTGGAAAATTATCAATTTGTTTTTTAGAATATTTTAAAGCTTTAAACACAATTTTTGCAATTGCAGTGCTTAATCCAAAACTTAATCCAAAAAATCATTCTAATTATCAAATTAGCGTTATGTGACCTATTATATGAATTTGTTTGACCACCCAACATTATGTGAAAAGGAATCCAAATTTTTTAATAGTAATGTTTGTGTTTCTACTGCGTGGAACTTGAAACCTTTTGGTGAAAAAAAACATGAGAGATAATGGAAAATTTTACATGGGTTAACTTCTACAGCTCTTTCAATTTTCCAAGATACAGGAATATATTAAAATTTTCAAGAAATTTCGAGTTTTATATTATATCCCTGTATCTTGAAAACCGTTGATTTTTGACAACTAGTTCCAAACAAAAATTTTACCAATTTTTGATGCCATAAACAATATTGCACTCTTTACATTATTTTTAATATTGTACTCTTTACTGAATCACCCTGTATATTTATAGTAACATATAAGTTAACAAGATTATTCTTCGTTAAGTTTAAAAAATATATTTTAATCCAAAATCGTAAAATTGCCTTTTGAACGATAATTTATCGAAGAATTTCCATACAGGAAAAGTAGGCGTCAGGTAGTGTGAGTGGCTTCTGAATCAACAGCATACGTGCGAGGTCTCCATTTAGCCCTCTTATGAAAACATCTAGTGCCATATTTCTGTAAAATGCAATAAGGGCATTTACAGTTTCTAATGAGAAGTTCTGTGTTTGTATTTTGTTAATTACTAAAAAAAGATGGTGATTAACCGTTTCAAAGAATTCGTGAATGCTGCGTCTTCCCTGTGTTAGATTTGATAGCTGACGCTCTAAAGTACGAATATTACGTTTATCAGCATAGTGTAGAGAAAGGCATGCTTTTATTTTGCTCCAGTCCTCATCAAATATGTTGTATGAAATTAACACTAAATCGGCATTACCTCGAATTTTTTGTCTGATGTGTTTCATTATTGCTCGATAAATAGGCTCATGTTTGACAATTTCGTAATCTTTTAGCAGACTTTCGACCGCATGAATCCATGACACATATTTTGTCGGATTCCCATTGAATGTTTTTAATTCTTTAACTGCGGCGGGAACTTTACTGATTTCTTGTAACTCCTTTTTATCCTTTAGCTCTTGTACACTTCCTTGTTGAATAATTTCCGTTATAGGTACAAGATTTTTCATAGTTTTTTCCATTTGATTCAATTTTTCTTCCAATTTCTTAATCATTTCTAACTGGGAATTGACTGACTCAGTTAATTGAGTTAACATATTTTGAATCACTTCCATTTCGTATTAATTAATTTTCTCTGTTATCTTCACTGGCGGTGTTAATGTTAGAGTCCGTCCGTATTCATAAAAAAGGTTTGTCGTTTCCTTTTGATATGACCTTAATTAAATGCTAGTAATTTTCCAGTTTAGGTAAAACTTTGATGCTTGTAATTATGATGTTAACGCTATAACGATCACTTTTTCACTTTTTTCAAGATAGTAAATGCTGAGCTTGTTTCTTGCTCCTCGGACGCCAATTACCGAGATTAATCGTCACCAAGTTTTGATTTTAATGTAAAATTCATTGCACATTAATCGAGTTACAAAATTAAACTTAAAACTAATCTTACCAATTCCAGTTATTTATACATTAAAATTGATTAGTAAGCAAAATTAACGTGTGAATATTTTTATAATAAAATAATAAAATTTGATTAATAAGCAAAATTATCTTTTAAACAATAAATTTGATCCTGCAAATTTATCGAGAAAAAATTTCCATAAAGAATTGATTGGTCAGCAATTTTGGTGTAGCGCATGCATTACTTCCTTTTACATAAGCATAACTGTATATTTCTTATATGTTAACTTATAATATAATGTGAAGCAAACAATTACATAATCTATTTTGAAATCTCTTTGAGCCAACCTTAAAATTTAAAGCAAAATATTTGTTTATGTCATTTAATATTCACCATGAATATTTTATGTTATTTTTGTTAACTATAAGGTTTATATTATGAAAAATATGTACATATTTTAATTGAAATATAAATATAAATACGTATACATATGTGTGTATATATATATATATGTAAATTCAAATGGATGAACAATGCAATTTTTTTGACCGATTTAAAAAAGAATGAGATTATGTTTATTCGCCAATTTTGTTGAAAGGGCATACGGCCGGATTTAAAAAATTTTTGAAATATTTTATATATAAATTTTTTCAAATGATCCCATTCCAATGGTTTTTTTCAACAATAATGACAAAATAAAAAAAAATAACGAGTGACAAAAACTTCCTATAGGTTTACAATTTTTATGTGCGTTTTAAATATTTTAAATCTAACAATATTTTAATTGAAATTAAATAGGTCTTACTATCGAGCTTTTAACAATATTTGGCTCACTCATTTAGTCACAAATTTCTTCGCGAAACCCTATTAAATTTTAATTCAATTATTTTATTAAAAAAATAATTAGCTTTATCTCGTAAGCGTGCTTTTTTCACCAAAAAATAATCCACCTATATTTTTAAGAGGAATTATAGATCTTGTTATTTATTAAAATTTAACTGAGTTATTTTTAAATTTTTATTTTGTGAAGGGACCTTTTATACAATAGAATTCAGATAATTCCACTTCAAAATTTCTCAACACTTTTATGCAAATATCAGAAGCATGGATGTAACAAGTACAACTTCTGATAATTGCAGAAATGTCGTAATTAAAATAACTTTAAAGAATTTAGACTTTTGAAGCATATACTCTTATATGTACATACATATATGTTTTGAAAATATTTTTTCTTTAAGATTATGGGTTTTAATGAAACGTTTTATTAGATGAATATTCCATTTCAGCTAAATAAAATAAAATATGAGAATAATATAGATTTTTCAGAAACGTAAGTAAGTGTGAATGTATATGTATGTATGTACCATTTTGTTCAAATGTCCGTTTAACAAAATCACTAAGAATTTAACAATTTTTTGGTATTAATAATACTACCCAATATATCAACAAATATTACAGAAAATATACTTATATGATTATGCATGTACATGATCGGTTCATTGATTATTCAAAACTACATAATATATTCTAAGATTATTCAAATATTTCAAAAAATTAATACATCTATACATACATATTATTAGTAAGTACCTGCTCACACAAAAGAAAAAGCTTCTTTTATTCTAATTTTTGATAGCTTTTAAGGCAAAAGTAAAAGCAAATTTACGAAATACTTTAGATTTTTTAAATTCCAATACTTCAATAGCATTAGTTGTATTTTTATCAAACTCCTATGGAAGAGAAAGTGATAATTCTTTTACGAAAGGTCTGGGTTCTATACACTAAAATTGTAAGTATAAGCTGTAAACAAAAGTTTTTGAATTTTCATGGAGTAACAATATGCAATTGAGAATCTATATCTTAACTCAATTGGCTTAGAATTGACTGTTCTAAATAATAAATAATAATTTATTGTATGTATGTATTTACGGGTAAACAAGGTTTTTTGCAATTCCTGATAATCTTTTAACCTCTCGTTTACATTAACGTTTACTTTGAAGAAATAAGAACGTTATCAATTCTAAAATAAGTTTTCAATTTTATACGAAAAAATATTTAATACGAATTTCGCATTTGATAAACATACACGCAAATAAAATTTTATTTTAATTTTTAATTAATATTTTTATTTAACTTTTTTTTTGTTTTCATTTTCATTTATACAAATTGTAGAAAAAGAAAAGAAGAAGTAAAACGCAAATTTGGAATTTTTGAAATGTATTTTTTTTAACTTCCAATGTGTCGATGACTTCGTCGATACGCCAACCATAGTAAAACAGGAAATATAAGTCTAAGAGAAAATACAAAAATAATTTGGAATACTCATTATAAAAGACATCAGTAGTTAGTCATCACTCATCACTTTACGCCAAATATTATACTTTTACGAGAAAAACCGGAAACTTAAGAATTCGACGTAAACAAAACAATATAGCAAAAAAAAGTCAATAATGAGACAAACACTCAACAAATCTTTAGTCATTAGTTTACTTATTAGCTTAGCAAATGGTAAGTTGTACTATAATAAATATCAATATTTTTTTCTTATAATAATTACTAATACTAATACGTGCCAATTATATTTGCGTTATAAAATTAAAAAAAATTTAATTTCATCAGATTTTTTTTGAATTATAAAAAAGAATATTTTAAATTTATAAATAGAGATTTGCAAAATTAATTTTAATATTTAAAAAATTTGATCGTTAACCCTAATATGCAATCATTTAAAAAAAAATTCTAATGTGAACAACACATAACCAAGCCTATTATTAAGTTGAATAAAATCATGAAAATTTGCTATAAATATTTATATCAAGAGAAAGTATAGCCTTTAATTACGTATACCTAGATAGGTAATACGTACGATTTCGTTGCAAAGTTTCTCAATTAATTTCGTTAATAACCAGAACTAACCTGACCATTTGTGCAGTGGTTATACAAGTAATTTTCAAATATTCATAATATTCGATATTAAAGACTAAGAAAAATAAACAGTAAATATTAATAAACTAAAATATTTAATATAAATAAAAAAAAAACTACGGCGGGCTAGTCACCTACCTAGCTAACTCTCTATGACTATAGAAACTAGGGCATGATAGATATCATGCACTAGCCCTTTACTCCTCCTAGGAGTGGAGAAGGAAAAAAAATAACCAGAACTCAAATATTAAATTTTAATAGATTCCGTCAGCTAGTTCCTGAGATATGATCAAAATGTAAAACCGATTTGTCGTAAAGCTCCAGTTCCAGAAACCTGACATATCCCAAAACTTGATCAAACCGTCTCATCTTAAAAGTAAACTCGGATTTGAATTTTCTTGAAAATCAGTTCAGCCGAACTTGAGATACTAATCTGCATAGACAGACTTATAAACAGACAATATCCCCCAAAAATTAAATACGAGTACATAGTTTATTTAGGGCAATTAGTTTATTTCCCAGTATGGAGAAATTTAATAAATAAAGGTGTTTCAAATATTTTACAAACTTGCCTATTTAAAGAGAGGGAGGTTTTGAGTAAACCTACTTCAAGAAAGTATGTTTACTATTAAACATACTTTCTTGAAATATACATACATACATACATATGTACTTAAATATCTACCATTTAAAAAAAATATTTACCTAAATCTTTTTTTTTTATAATCAGTACATTTAGTATTTACATTTCCATTTACGATATCAAGAAGTTATGTGATAAATTGGACAACACCAGAAGATACATGGAGTATTGAAAATGTCCCACGTAGTATAACACCTCATTTAGAACCAAAAAATAATCATACACACAAACTACTTGGTAATGATGAAGAATTACTAGAACGATTGAAACATATTAGAGATAATGTAACAGCAAGAATGTTATGGTATGATTCCTCCGATAAATCACATTTTCCTCCTTTTGTGGACAAAGCACTTAAATTATTTAATTTAAAACAAGTTGCTTATGAAGTTGAAAATAGTCTTTTGTCAAAAGTATCATGCACCGCATGTAATGCTGGTAAATGAAAATATTTGTCAAATATAAAATCTCATATTATAATATTGAATTTAATTAACATTTTATTTTTAGGTGCTGGCTTATTACAACATTACATTCAAACTGGTAAAAGTCAGCAGGAAATTGTAAAAACAATCTATCAATTTTGCGTTAATTTACAAATTCAATCCCCTAGAGTATGTGAAGGTGTTAGCAATCAATTCGGAGTGAGCTAAATTCAACAGAAATAAATAAACAAAAATGAAAAATACTAATGATAAATCCTTTATTTTAGTCTGAAGTTATTTATGTTTTACAACGAATTAATCTGGGTCCAGATGAAATTTGTAGTTTTATAATTGGTGATGCTTGTGGTGATGTGTATAACCCATATCATGAATGGGAAGTAACTTTTCCACCAGTACCAAAACCAGAATTAAAAGAAATTCCATTACCCAAGGAGAATGCCCCATATTTCAAAGTGTTACATTTATCTGATACCCATTACGACCCGTTTTATGTTGAAGGATCAAATGCTGAATGTAATGAACCATTATGTTGCCGAATGACTAGTGGTCGACCAAGCGTTCCAAATAATGCAGCAGGCAAGTGGGGTGATTACCGCAAATGTGATACACCGAAAAGAACTGTTGAAAATTTGCTTCAGCATATTGCTGAAACACATCCAGATATTGATTATATATTGTGGACTGGTGATTTACCACCACATGACGTATGGAATCAAACACGAGAGGAAAACTTACAAATAATCAAAGATACTGTTAAACAAATGTCTGAGAAATTTTCTGGTATACCAATATTTCCAGCTTTAGGAAATCATGAAAGTGCTCCAGTAAATAGTTTTCCCCCACCATATGTTCATCAGTTGGACAATTCAATATCATGGTTGTATGATGAATTGGATTTACAATGGAGAAGATGGCTACCTGCAAGTGTTTCCCATACAATTCGAAGAGGAGCTTTTTATTCAGTTTTAGTTAGGCCTGGTTTTAGAATAATATCGTTAAATATGAATTATTGTAATAACAAAAATTGGTGGCTATTATTAAATTCTACAGATCCTGCAACTGAATTGCAGTGGTTCATATACGAGCTTCAAAGTGCTGAATTTTCAAATGAAAAAGTTCATGTAATTGGTCATATACCACCAGGACATCCAGATTGTTTAAAAGTTTGGTCAAGAAATTTTTATAAAATTATAAATCGATATGAAAGTACTGTAACGGCTCAATTTTATGGTCACACCCATTATGATGAATTTGAGTTGTTCTATGATCCAAATGATTTAAGTTAGTTCTATTTTATATTTCAAGTTGCAAATATTCAAAATATTAATAAAATTGTATTATTATTGAAAGAATTTTAAAGTAATATCATGAATATTTCAAAATTTTTAGGCCGCGCAACCAGTATAGCTTACATTGGACCCTCAGTTACACCATATTATGATTTAAATCCAGGTTATCGAATTTATTATATTGATGGGGACCACGATGCAACAACGAGAATGGTCATTGATCATGAATCTTGGATAATGAATTTGAAAGAGGCAAATTTATATGATTATCCAATATGGTATAAACTATATACAACTAGATCGGCATATGCCATGAAAGGTTTAAGACCTTCCGATTGGGATAATCTAATCAATGAAATGACAAATAATCAAGAAATTTTTGATTTATATTACAAGTAAATACATAATATATAATATTGTGCTTTATAAATTTTTTTTTTTAAATTTAAATGACAGACACTATTGGAAAAATTCTCCAGTTCGCCCATCTTGTGATGCTGAATGCAAAAAACGTACTTTATGTGATAGTAAAAGTGGTCGAAGTCATGCTAGACGTCATTTCTGTGAAGATGTTGAATCAAAAGTTGATGAAAGTTCGCCAAAAAGCTGGAAACAATGGTTTTATCGTGGACTTAGTGTATCGTATGTAATGTTAACAACTTAGATTAGAATTAATAGTGTTTTTTTTATCCATTTTTGTATTTTACATTATGGTAATATTTTAATATGTATATAACGAAATTCATATCATAATTTGGTACTGGATTTTTTAACATTGTGTATAGAAGTAAAAATTATGGTACTGAAAATTACATCTTCGAATTAAGTATTTAAATTTTCTATTTATATTTAAAATTTTTTTTGTATCTCAGTTGAATAAAGCAACTGTATGAAGTCTTAAAAAAATATCCGATTGATTTAATCTCAAAAGGATGAGGTGATTTAAACAGATAAGTAAATCTATTGATGTAGGGTAACCATTACCATTTTTGGTATTGCCTGCTTGTGGCTTAAGTAATAAGTTAATAACATTTACTCGAACGCATTATTCAATAATTATGGATCTATTTCGAATATGCCGATTTTTCAATCTAAATTACTTATCTTTAGATTATTTTTTCAGAAACAATTTATAGATTTACTTTATCAAAATAAATAGAAGAAAATGCTTACACACATTGCCAAGGTTTTCGTTTTTCCTATTAATAAATTCATTTGTTTCAACAAAAATTATACTGAATAATTCTTCAATATTATTAACATAATTTTGAAAAATAAGAATTTTTTTTCATATCTAAAATATTTTTGTAAATAGTTTACAATTAAAACTAACATTATTTTAGGAAAAAAAGTTATAACTTTAGTTTTAATGATTAAATAATGCATAAATTTAACTGTAATTTGCAATTTAGAGCTAATGGGTTGAGAGTTTTAACAAATGAAGTGGAACCAACTTTACAACATACCGTCAATTTGAATCAGATATCATAGCTGTACTAGATTTGACTAAGATTTTAAGTTTGAATGTTTTCAAACTTTGGGTAAAGGTTCTAATATACTTACATAATTATTTATTGAAACATATTATTATATAAAAAATTTAAATTGTAACTATGGGATATTTAATGGAACAAGGTAAAAATAAGGATTATTTTTTATATAGTGCATAAGTTCGTTTTAACATTTTTTTAAATAACTTAAAAAGACAAAATGGTGTAAAGATTTTTAAATATTAATTTGTAAAATGAAATTATTTCTTATTTTAATAAAAAATTCTTAAAAATTTTTAATTATATGTATGCAGTTCATTTTCTGTTTTATTTTTTTTTAAACAAACTTCTATTTCATATACAATGTAGAATGAATTTAATTACATCAATTACTAGTCTGCCAAGATATGTTATGAATGGACTTGGATAAAATGCCGCTCGGATAAAACGCATTACATAAATAAAATGCGTTTTCTAAAAATTTTTATGATTTGAGCAACAACAATACATTGTACATAATATTTAATTTTATTTATTTAGTGTAATAGGACAAAATTTTATAAAATGAAAACGAATCATATTGCAAAATTTTTATTATTTAAATAATTCTTAAGCAGCATTCTTACTTTTAAAAATATTATATATTTTGTAAATTAAAAAACTAGTTTTTTTCATTCATTGCTTTATTTTCCATTCCATAATTATAAATAATTTATATTTTTAACATGCAGTCCTTAAAAGATTATTTTATATGTATAATTTTACAAGCAATTTTTAAAAAAAAAGAAATACTCAAATTATATTTATAATATAGAAAGCATTAATTCATAATACACAAAATACATATTTTGTGTAAAACCATTACAAATTATAAGTTTGTTTTATTTCAATTATTACTAAATGAAATTTTATAGAAAAATCCTATTTTATTCGTATGAAAATATTTTTTGTATTATTGTTACTAAATATTATTAAAAAAGTCGGATTTAATTGAAATGAATCAATAAAAATGTGTCTTGTTTTTAAAACCGATACTCATAATTACATTTTATTTAAAAGAGTATCTTCATTTAAATGCAATAATATTCTTTTGATTTTGATTATTCATAATTGCTTTTTAATTTTTAGATAGAACGTAAATTTAAGCCCATGTTTCAAATTTTAGGCATTGTAAGAAATTTAGCTAACAACTGATCAACGTTTCTTATAAAACCATTTTCAACACTTAATAACTATAATTTATACGAATAAAGTAGGAGTTAATTAAATAAACCTGTGAATCTTATTAAGATAGAATATAAATATAGGTATGTAGTTGTAATTATTCTCTAAATAGAAGTAAGTTATTTTGTTACGTTTTTAAATTTTAAGAAATTTTGAAATTTATAAATTAAAAATTATTGATACAGAATATTAAATAAATATTTTTAGCAAAAAAATGAGAGATAATTTGTTTGCCTTCTTCTTGCGCATGAACTGTGTTGAAAGTTACATTGTCAAAGTTAATTTCTGTTGGATTCAAATATGTAAGAGCATTAAGTAAATAATAAAAAAAAATAGTTTCACTAAATTTATGTATAAAATTTCATGCATTTTTATTTTATTCATTTTATACATTATACAGAAAATTTAGTCTCATTAGTGAAAAGTAATTAATGATCCCACTTTTTACATAAAAAATGTAATATTATTTTATATTACTATTTGCTTTATAGTAACACTACACAGTTTTACTTTCTAAGAAAACAAACCATTTCTGTAGAATCAAATCAAAGACTTTAAATCTTTTTTATAAAGAAATTATTATTTTATAAAAAAAACTTTCACTAAAATTTAAGTCAAAGTTATTAGGAATCAACTCTCAAAAATTTTTTTTACAAAGATGTGAATGAACACAATTTGATAATTACATTAATTTTGTACACATATGTACATAAAATATTCATTAATATATTTTATTAATTTTTGCAATTAGTCAGTTTATTCAAAGTTTGAAAAGTATTTAAAAATTATACAAAAAAAAAATAAGAAACAAATTAAATCTAGTAAAGTTAAAGTTAATCTATCGACATTACCCATACATTTTAAAAATTCTTATCAGCATGGCTCATAATTACATTTAAATTAGCCTGCAATTGCTTCATTTCCATTAATGTTTCAGGACTTAAATTTTCCGCAATCATTTTTCCAATTTCTGTTGAATCTAGCTTTTTTGATCTTAAAGAAAATGTTCCACTTTTTGTTGGAATATTAACATTTGCGAAAGAATCAGGAATCCTGAAAATTTAAGTAACAATAACATCAAAATAAAAAAAATATAAAATTAAATAAATTACATTGGAATAACTATCGGGCTTCCTGACAGAGAAATTATAGTTTCACCAGGTCTGGCCCATCTTCTTAAAATTGGCGATGCATCGCTGTTTATGTTTGAAACCAAAGCTGAAATGCGATCAGCACTAACTGCCTTTGCTCGTGCGGACGATTTTTGTTGCAGCAACGGTGTACGTAATTTAGATCGTGAGTTGTGTTCACTAGTTATCGATGTTGTTTGATTTTTTTGTGCACTGTTAATAGTGCCAGTAGCTGACCTGCTACGTCGCATTCGGGGTCTAGCTTTAGCTGAACTAAGTGGACCGGGGGTTCTGCCCATGTGAGTTGGAATAGTTGGTAATCGTAGTAGATTTGAATTTCTGGCATTTCCGCTATCTTCTGTAAGGTATCCTTATTTTTTTAATTTTGCAACCAAACAATTTTACAAAAAATCATAGATCACCATATTTACAATAAGGATAGGTTCCCAAATATTGAAAAAATTAGATATCGAAGACATTGTGTTGCAAAATCATGAGATTCACGAGATAGTTTGTTAAGCAAAAGAAAAACCATAGCCATTTAAAATAAAATGAATAAAAATATGATATTAATATAAAGAATTAAATGAATAATGTTACTTATTATTAAGCAATTTTACTATAAACACCAAAAATTCAAGTGCATAAAGAAAAAAATGTGTTATTAACTAAAATACTTAATGCCAACTTAATACTAAAATTTTACCTTCGTCATTAGATTTTTTACTAATGCAACTGGATGCACTTAACACAGATGATGTTGGTGCTAAACTAGAAATACTGGATGTGCTAACATTTTTAGAATCGACTTTAGCTATTTGTTCTTGATCATTTCCATTCTAAATTATAAGTAACATAAAAAATATTCTTCAACACTACCAAAAATAATTTAATTTTTACCATGTTGTCATAAAGTTTCATAGATAACTCTTTTGGAGTTAATTGCAATTTAAGCATATTTCTCTTTGCGTTGAATTCCTCGATAAGACTATTATATGAACATATCCATTCTTCTTCTATTTGATCCCACAAATTATCGAACTGTCTTAGCCTTTCATTCTTAATTTCTTCTCTCTCATCTTTGGCGGCATCACGATTTCTTTTGGCTTTTGAAATTTTTGTTCTTGGCATTTTATAGTTATGCTTCTTTTAAATTATATAAAAAAGTCATACAAATTAAAACAAACTTTTAAGTCAATTTCCCTTTGATTGAAAATTAATTTATATATTTATTTATTATGTTTTATTTTTTTATACTTTTCAAAAATAACTATGTAATGAATTACTTGAATTTTCAACCGCTTATGAAGTTGACTTTGACATTCAAACGTTCAACTTCACCACGAATTCGTATGACAGTGATACAGGGCAGCCAATAATTAAAACAGCTTTAAATATTTTATCAAATTAATTTTCACGCTACCTTCCGGCTCTTGTCAACATTATTGTTAAATATGAAAAACTACAGCATACATATAATTTTTCATATAAAAATTTTGAAAGTTTGGTTTAAAATAAGTTTCAAATTTTTAAAAGTAGACATAATTTCAAATAAAGTACTTGTCATTGAAAGTCATGCAGAATTTTAACTTTGAAAAAAGAAGAATTTTATAGGACAGATACCGAATTTAAAATAAAGCTACCAAAAGTAGAAAAAAAATTATCTTGCAAAAAAAGGTAATAAGAGAATCAATTGAAACAGCTGATATGCCATGGTCTAAAAATTTATTTATTAAATTAATTTGACTTAATCAAATGCCGCATAATTTATGACATTTGTCCTTTCAATGATATCGGATCTTATCGAGTAATTATTTCACTTACGTTACCCAGCATTTACACATACAAGTTACTTGCAAGCAAGTTTGTATAATATTAATTGTCAATTAGTTTTTCGAAATGTCAAATTACTTGCTATTATGACGTAGGCGTTTAGCAAGTTAATTTTTGAAAATGTCTTTGAGAAGAAAACAACTAGCAATAATAATTGTTTATAAATTTTAGAAACCATAAGTTTGCTAAGTTTAATTTTTTCAAAACAAAATTCAAAAATTTTAAATTAAAAAAAAAAAAAAAAATCAAAACAACAAATTTTTTTTTGTGAATTTCTGAATATGTCAAATTACTTGCTCAAATTACTGGCAGCAAAATTTTCTTGCAAGTTGAACTGCAAGTAAACAAGCAAGTAGAAATATTTCAATGGGTTAGTAAAATTTTTGTATGTATTGCAACTTTCTTGCAAGTAACTTGTACGTGTAAATGCTGGGTTAGAGTAATGCAATTTTTCCCTCCATAATAAGTTTCTATCCAATGATAACATTTTCAAGATTAATGCTATTCCTTGCAAGTTTTGAGATATGAAAGTAGTGCGTTGAATGAAGCCATCAATGATTTGAATTATGAAAAAAATTACCACATCTTTTATTTTTCTTAGAATCAATTATTTTTAAACCTAGCTTCAATTGAGCGACTTCTATTTAGTGTTCATCTGCAGAAATTTATGGGATTTAAAGAAAATTGTCAGAACTCTCAAATTTTAAACAGATCTTTATTTTTCGTGGTATAAATCCGAAAATATTTTTTAAGTCGAAAGCAGGACAACAGCTTTTTTAATTTAATAATTTTTGATTAATTTAAAATTAAAATAATTACTTTTTGATTAATATAAAATATCTTGCTTTTTTAGAATTAATATAGAATATTACAGTCTGTTATTTCTTAAATTAACTAACTTAAGGAATCGGAAACTTGGAATTTTGGTGAGAAAAAGCCGCAATATTAGAGCTTTCAGCATTTTCTATATTCAAGTTATTGGATTAGGGTGTATCTACTCGTATTTTGATAAATAAAATTTTTGAGCAATATTTTATTAATTTTTTTTGTGCAAGTGATACAGTATTTGTGCCTAAAATAATCAAATCGATAAGAGGCTTCATGCAAAACGACATCGCAGGAAATGAAAATAGAGAAATGTCACATTGCGCGAAGAACGGACTTGATGTGAAAGTAAAAATTATGCAGATTAAATAAATGTTAGGTTTACATCAAATAAAATTTGACTAGTTTTATATTAAAGTCGTGTGTGTAAATATTATTTGGCATCCGACTTTGTCCAACGGCAAATAATAGAACTAAGTTGCTTTTTACATATATGATAAAATGTAAGATTTAATCTGAGCCTTTAAGTTTATACACTGTTTGAAATTAGGCTCTGTCCGACGGCAAAATAATAGAATTTACTCTATTCTTATCAGATTTCTTAGAAATAAAATGGTGACAATTAATTTTAACAAAATTTTTGAGCATCTAATTTTTATTTCGGATAAAATTTTCCTAGTAAATTTGTAAATTTAAAAATTTACGTAAAGTCTGAGCTCATCAAACTATTTCAGGTAATATATAAAGGTGAAGTAGTCGGTTTTCAGCTGAGCTATTTAAAGTAGAACTATTGTCTTGATGGTTCATTGGTTGATTTATGGTTTCCGACGTTTAATTTAAATGGACTGAATGGAATTTTTGTGGGAAGTGACCATCAATCTTTTAAAACGTCAAATTTACATATGTTGGACTACTACAATTGTACATTATTTTTGTTAAAAAAGTAATAAATGCATATTAACAAAAAAAACAACGCTCAGCTTTTTCCAAACGAACCAATGGATTGATGGTCACCTTCCACAAAAATGCCATTAAGCCGTTTAACTTTAATGGGCTGAATGATATTTTTGTGTGAAGTGAACGTATGTAAATCACTTGGTTCATCAGTTTAGCAAGGAGTTGATGTACTATTGCATGACAACTTGAATTTTTTATATTATCTTTATTTTGCCTTTTTCAAAAAGTTGAATCAACTTCAACTTTAATGCGAAAGATTTTTTAAAAGATTGACAGTCACTTCCCACAAAAATGCCATTCAGCCTATTAAAATTAAACGGCTGAATGCTATATTTGTGATGTGACCGTCAATCTCAATCGTTGTGAGCGTTATTATTACGTAAATATTTTTTGTAATTTGTATAATACAAAAGTGGACAAACTCATAACTTCTAATAATTCTGTCAAATAATTTACGATATATTTTTTACGATAAAACTCATCTATAGCATTTTTATATAGGGTTGAACGAAGAAAGAAATTTTTTCTTGCAAATAGGAAAAATTTCATTTTTTACGCCATTAAAATTTTTTTCCCAAAAATTAATTAGAATTATTTAAAAAAAATAAAAAGAAATATGTTAAAAATATAGCAAAAACTATTGTGTTTAAAATTAAATAGAAATATTTGCATCGGCAGTGTAAAAAAGTAATATATTTTTTGATGGAAAAAAATATGTTGCTGCTTCCATTTGATGAGAATTTCAGCATAGAGCAGCCATTTATCAACTAAAGCAAAAAAAAAAAAGTTAAAAAAAAAGAGTTGGTTTTGTTTTAGCTAAACATTTAAAAAAAAAAAGAAAGGTTTTCCATGAAAATTTTTAACAAAATCAAATATCAGCTTGGAAATCCTTGTTTTTTTTTGTTTTTTTGAAGAAACGAAAGTGAGAAGTCTAAAAAGGTGAAATTTAAATCTAATGTATTTAAAAAGTATACAATTTTAACTTAATATTCTTTATAAATAAATAAGACCTTCTTCAAATAAATTTTGTTTCCTTTAAATTTAAATTTAAATTACAACTTTTTTAAATACAAAAAATTTTTATAATCTACATTCTTTAAATTTAAATTTTTTAATTTATGACAAACAAAAAAAAAAAATTGTATGTTTAAATTAGCCGAATGAAAGAATTTAAAAAAAATCGAGCTAAGAATTGTATAGAAAAACAGCAAAACTACAAAAAAAAATATTATAAATTGAAAGTTTTCTTTTAATATTTCATCGATTTTGTACTACACTGCTAGAATTGAGGAAAACAAGAAAAGTTTTGGTAGGTATTTTTTTAATTTTCTATATTTACATTTAAATAAACCTATTGTATAAAAAATATATGTATGTATAGATATTTATTCAAGAAGAGAAATAGGCACAGTGTAATACTATTTTATAAACAAATTGTTGTATGTAAAAATGTATATGTAATTAAAATTGATTATAGGACAGATTAGAAAAGTGTTTGGTAGCACTTTATAGTGTAAGAAAAAACAAAAGTTTTTGTAGGTGAATTTAATGGTAAAATACCCTGTACCTAGCTAGGCTTGTTTTAGATATAAAATTTTGTAATTTTTTTTAATACTTGGGTTAAGTTCGTGTTAAGTAGATTGGTAGGCCTACCTATTAAATAAAATAATGAGTAACTAAAAGGGTTGATTGAAAAATATATATAAATATGCTTTAATTAAATATCTATACCCATTTGGATTTTTTTTGTTAACTTTAATGTCATTTGATAAAGTTTGTGCTTTTAAATTATTGATTTAAATCTAATGTTATGATATTAAACAGCAATGTTAGCAATTCGAACTTATCTCCCTACCACATTAAAAGGATTTATGATAATATTTTTTATACAAGTTTGGTAAATTTTAATATCGAAAACCAGTTTTAACTAAAGACCTTTAACTATCATTCAATCGTTATTAAAAACATTAATTGAACGAGTACAAATTTAAGTCTAGATATTTTTTGTTCAAGTAATAGGTATAAAAGATTATTTTATTTATAAACCAATCCGATTTCGTAATAATTCATATCTTTATAAAACTGTGTGTAATAAAATTTTGTGCCAAGTTGAAAGAGAAAAAAAGTACCTAACAAGTTAAGCAGGAAGCTAGTTTTCGAATTGCTCATCATTGTGGTTTTCTTGATCATAGTTATCAATTAATTAAAATATTCTTTAATTCATTAAGAGTATACGAATAAAAATTGTATTTAGACAATAAATTAAATTTTATTTAATTTACATCCAAAGATAAGTGTTGAAATTATTGCCCTTCGAAGTTAATATGTGTAACACAATAGGTTATGCTATTATAAATTTTTATGCAGGTACCTACCCCACCTGCCTACTTTTAAAGTAGTTTTTACAGGCCAATTCGAGTGGATTACGTAGAAACCTATGCTTATATTTATATATATAATTTATGTAGGTAATTTTTTGAATTAACTATATATATATGTGCATATAACATTATGTATAACATATATCAGAGAAAATAGCAAAAAAACAACATAAAAAAACAAAAATTATTTCCTGAGGACAAACCATCATCAGCTTTTACATTATTTTCTCAGCGGGAGTTGCAATAGTAGCAGGCGCCCAAATACAATATGGCGAATGCGGTACTTATTTCTATTTATTAATATTTTTTTTTATTGCGTTTATATTTTTTTGTTTTCCTTTTTAAAGGTTGATAAAATCTAATATACAATAAAGCTTCTTATGGGTTTATTCTTATAATCATAAATAAATACTGAAATACAAATAAAAAAAGTAATGCAATTTGAATATTTTTATTTATTTAATACAAAATTTGATGGGTATTTCTTATCTAAATAATGCTAAAAATTCTAAATAGGATATTTTATCTCTCATATAAAAGGATTAAAATATATACATACATACTATTAAATAATCTATCCTATTTTAATTTGTAATTAAATTTTAAACAAAAAAACTCATCCATCAATTGATTAAAATAAGGAATCAAGTGGATTTAAGCTAATATTTAACCGATGGATTTAATATTGATTTTTAAATATTCTTATTCAATTAAGATTAATGTTGCTGAATGTGTTTTTAATTAAGTTTATTATTTGAATTTTCAAAAGTTACAATATTAAAATGGAATAATAGCGCGACTCAAATTTCTTAATAACAACTGGAAAATAGTTTTTAGGTACCTATATATTTTTTAGATATTTAAGTAGGTAGGTACACATAGTAAATAAAACTTTAAGTTTTAATATTACACAAAACTATAACTAGATAAATAATGAACACAAAAAAATTGATATAAATACGTAGGTATTAGAGTATTAAATAACTGGACCTATATACCTAAATATATAATATAACGTGTCGAACTCTTGAAACCGAAGTATCTGTAACTTAAATTATTCTAAAAATATATCTTAAAATTAGATAAGGAAAATTATTTTAATACAAAAATACAAGATAAAAATATCTCATTTTATAATCTATCTTATAGGCATCTATTTATTATTACTTTAGCACTAGTTTATATATGCAATATACCTACGTATACCTACGTATATTGCATATATGTAAAATCAGAAAACAAAATAATCAAACATTTTTATAATAATTTTTAGGAAGTTCGATAACTTGTTAATTTCTTTGATATTTACCTCGAAAATATAAATAGAAATTTATCAATAAAAATGGTTTCAACAAGGCAAATGAGCACAACTCTTGCAGCACCAACAACAGGTCCATCAAATGATGAAGTTATTAATTATAGTATACAAACCACAGCAACAACATCAACCACAACAACAGCTCGATATACTTCGGTGATTAGTACAAGGCATTCCAACAGCCAATCATTTTCGCCATCCACTACATCTGCGTCACCAATCTTTTTACTTGACTTACCAATTGAGATTCTTGATAAAATATTTTCATATGTTGGATATAAAAAACTTGGGCAATTACGTGTGGTAATTTCTAATGTATTTTCAAAATGTATTTTATTTGAAATATGTTTTTAATAGGTTTCAAAGCAAATGAATCAAATTGGAGGAACAATTTTAAACTCAACATTTCAAAAATTGCAAACTCAAATGTTGAATCGCTTTCAAACAGTTAAAGCAAAAATGCCTAGACGTGAATCAGCTCGACGTAATCATCCATTAGCATGTGAATGCGATATTATTGAAACATGCCATATGAGGCTATCATTATTGCAAATGACATTTGGTAAACATATCGAGCGTAAACATTGCTGTTTTTTTCCGGGAGGCGTAAGTATTTTAAGATTTTGAAGAAAATCTTATAATTTGTAGCTATTATTTAAGATTTTGGATGAAGTGTATAATGTGTTAAATTATATACGCACTACACCCAAATTGGAAAGACCGTATAGGGTTACAGATGAATTATTTGATCTTTCAACTATGGCTATGGAATATTTTAAAGAACATATTGAGCCCAATTTACCTGAAATTGCTTACTTTAATAAGGACTTTTTTGGTTCCTCGAGTAAGTTTTTAAATTATTTGGCAAAAATATATATATATAACGTTTTTAGTGTATTATACGAGTATTGTATAATATATTGTACTTAATTTTAATTGAGTCTATATGCTAATATACTTAAAGGTAAATGTAAACAGACATATTCGTTGAAAGCTATTTCTGACATATCTGAAAGTTGTTCTTCTTCATCTTCTCCACCACAAAGTAACATGGTATTAAGAAAGGGTATTCGCAAAATTAAGCAAGGCATGAAAATGTATAACAATCAGTTGACAGTTTTAAGAAGTGAATTAAGAAATTGTAAAAGAAAATCTTCTGAGCAAGGGAAACAAATAGCTGAACAGCAAAAACTACTAGCTGATCAACAGAAACAAACATTGGAATATGCAAATCGTTTAGATGAAAATGACAAGAAAAATGAAGAAATGTCAAGGAAATTTTCAACCTTACTTCAAGTGAGTCAATCATTTAATATAATTTATATTTAAAAAGGAGTAAAACTATATTATACAATTTCAGGAACTTAATAAATGTAAAACTGAATTACAATATTGGCGTTCAAAATCACCAGCAATTCAAGTATGTAATTCTTGTGGACACAAAATTACCCCGGTTATAGCGCCAGATGATTTTCAAGCATTGATTAACCAAGGTGTTAAACCTGAGGATATAATTAGTATAGATGATGTCGAAGACAGTGACACTAGCAGTAATAATGCTTTGTGCGATTCAGATTTGGATACTTCAACCGGAACTCCAACAAACGCAGAAACAGTACAACAACATAACAGCACAGAAGGTGTTGCATCATCAAATAATATGACATCAAATCAATCAACAAATGTATTCGTTTTTCCTGATGAAACGACAACAGCCAAATTACTAGCTGTAAATTCTATTAAAAATTTAAAACGTAATTATGATGGAACATCAGTTGTTAGTCTCACATCGTCAGCTCCGCCATCCACTTCAACAGTTACAACAATATCAAATAATGCTTTTAATCAATTAAATTCTAAAGGATGCTTAAAAGAGTCATCTAATTTTAGTAATAGTACTAGTAATAATTCTAATAGTAATAATTTAGCACAAACAAGTTTTATGGAATCAATTGAAAATTATAGCAATTCACAACTTCATCATCGTTATCATTATCATCATCACCATCAGCAACATTCAGAGCAGCAAAAGTCGCAACAGAAACAACAAAATCAACAATTGCAACGACAATGCTCCCAACCTCAACAACAACAACAATCATCACAAAAAACGCAACATCCCCAACAAAATCAATTTAATCAAAAACATAATAGTGATGAATCATCAGCCTTTTGCAGTATTGATACCAATGCTAACAAACTCTCCACGGCCAGTATTGGTACTGAAACTGCAATTTCGTCTAAATCAGCAATAACTTCAACTGTTACAAATGTTGAGCAATTGATCTCTGCTGGAAGTGCGAACGTTAAAAATTCGTTAAAATCGATTCCAACTATAAATCCATCCACATTTTATCCCTCCTCAATTTCGGCATTTAATGAGTCGACTCTGGCTACAGAATTACAAAACTCTTCTGCAAATAGTGTATGTAGTCCCAATTCTGGTAGTAATATCACACAAGTTATCACAAATGCTGAAACAATTTCTGCAGGGCAGGAGAATAAGAAGAGACGTGTACAAAAGAGCGGAAAAAGGAAAATATAAATTAAAATTGAATTTATGGAGAATGAAAATATAATATAAAGAAGAAATTTTTCCGGTCTCCGCAAATATTTAGAAAGTGAAAATATTTCAAATATAAAAATTGACAAATTAAGTTTTATTAGTATTTAGACATAAAACAAATTTGCTTAAAAAATTATAAGTGTATCACATATCAGCAATATTTTAACTTACAACACCATATGTAACTTATAATTTCTTCAGATTACGTGGGTATCCCCTTTTGTGAAAATAAGAATTTTGAATTTTTAAAAAATATTTGGGTGCACAACCATACATATATAAATATAAACGTATATCTATATATCTATATATATGCATAAATATATATATGTATATGTGTATGCATACATAAAGTGTAGATACGAAATATTTAACCCAACATCTATTTTATTATATAATTTCAAATAAAAAACAGTGAATTATGCACTTCATAATCTTGTAAAATGAAGTGAAACTTGAAATACAATTTTTTATCTATTTTAATTTCGGAAATGAAAAGAAAATTTCTGCATAAAAAAACTCTACTTTTATGAATATTACACTTAAGTGTCACAAAATAAATTGGAAAAATGTATTTTGAAATTATATGACAGATTTTGTACCGGCTTCAGATTTCTGTTATTCAATTTCTTTTTTGGAGTTTTTTTTTTATAATGAGTTAAATTTGAGTAAAATTTTGCAACCTCTATAAAAATAATATTGTTTTTACTAATAAAGCATTAATTTGTCATTTATTTTCTACCACCAGCACTTATTTATGTATTACACATCTATATGTAAATTTTAGATATTTTAAATATAAAAAGAATTGTAGCGAGATATTTAAGGAACATTTAAAAAATACTTATTTTGATGATAAAAAGAAAAGTACACCACAGCAATTATATATGTTTTACATTTGAAAATGTTTTTTCTTTATTAAAGACCCTTCAAGTTGCTTGTTTTCTTTTTGTTTGTAATTTTTAATCTTAAAAGTTAAATAAACTCAATTTCTCAATAATATTATCTAAATTTAATGTTATTGGAAATAAATTTGCAAATTATTAACTTATGTTTAAACATTAAACATAAACAATTTATAAACGTACATTTCATGTGAAATTTTTGAAAAGGTAAGATCCTAAGCCGTGATCATTTGGGAAGAATTGAATTCATTTGAATAGAGTTTTTAATTGCTGATAAAGGAGTTAAGATTTTATTAATAATGTTACTTTGTCTTGATTTTAACAAAGGAATTTCAATTTTGAGAACATGTTATAGTATACATTATTAAGAATAAGTGTTTTTGTACAGAAAAGTAATTTGTTTTTGATCTTCGGTTTTTAACGAGTCTCCCCTTACTAGTTATTATTTAAATGCTTTAGTTTTTAAGTTTAATCCAAGTGCAAATAGTTGGTGATTTAAAAATTAATTAATATACATGTGCAGGAGATTCTTATACATGTACATCGATTTTCATAAATTTTGATTTTGTATTTACAATTAGAAGCTCGTAGTAATTTTAAAAAATAAAACAAAATATGATTGATTTTCATATAAGCAAGAAATTTTTTTGTATCTTTTTTAGATTTATAATAAAAAAATATCAATTTAATCTTTTTCTTTATTTTAAAACTAGTATTTAGTTCAATTAAAATGTAGATATGTTTGTTATTTGTGTTGATATAAGATATTTAAATTTATACATTAAGAGTCAAATTATAAAAACAAGCAAACATTAATATTATAATTAAAATTACAATAAAAACAATGTATGTATTAAAATATTATTTCTTATTTTTTTTAAAGTGAAAACTAACAAATATTAAATTTTTTTAAAATATTTTATTTTTCATTTTTAATAATTTAAGTTGCTTAGAACGCGTTTGATTTTTCTAATTTTATAGTAATCTTATTAATTGATTTGTTTTGCTTTCTTTGAGTTTTCATAACTTTTGTAGAACTCTAATTGAAAATGCTTTTCCAGATTCGAAATTATTTTGCAAGAGACTATCACATGCGAAAGAATTTTCTAAAAAAGAAAATTATTAAAATTGTTTTTTTTTTTTTATAATATTTAATCAAAAAGTTTAAAATTTAATTTTATTTAAGAAATTAGCAACAAAAAAAATAAATTCGTTTTATAATTTTATGTTTAACATTAGAGGCGAATTAAAAGTGGAAGAATTAATAAAAAAAAAAAATAAAATAAAATTATCAAATTTGGGATCTGTGCCTTCGGATGAGTTACAATTTTATGTAATTGGAACTTGTGATACCTAAAATAGAATTTTGTTATCGTGGAGGATTTGAAAGCTGACAAAACTTAAAAAAGGAATATTTTAATTTTTTGTTTTGATTACCTTGAAATTTTCAATATGTATATCATTTATTACAGATTCCCTTAAATTCAATCTTTTTTCACTTATTTTCTCTTGGTTAAGTTTTATTTTATATTGAAATAATGAATTTAAGAAATGACGGAATTCTATTTACAAAAATTTTTGCAATATAAGTTATTTAATAAGTATTTTGAAAAAAAAAACAATCTTGTGGATAGTATTGAAAGCATTGATATGTTTTGTAAAATTTCATTTGCGAGCTTAGAATATTGTTAAATACTAATATCTTTATAAGATCTCATGATAAATAAGCAAAATGATTGAACAAAATTTTATAGCAATTATTTTAAAAAATATATATTTAACAAATATCTATTCTTGAGTATCATTTTTCAATATTTTATGAATTTATATTAAATAATTTTTATGTAAAATTTTTATAATTTATGTAATAAATAAACTTTAAGCTACAATATGTTAAATAAATATAAAGAGAAAAAAATTTAAAAAATATGCTATTATTTTTTTTTAAACAGGTAAAAGAGGGAGGCAAAAAAAATTGATTTGTTTTAATTTTGACTAAATATTTACAAATTTTATTTATTCAAAGATATTAACAGAATCTAACTTACAAAAGTTTTTAAAATTTACCTTCAAAAATGTATATTTCAAAATAAAATATAATATAGAAAAAAGTACTTGTATATAAATAATAAGTGTAATGCAATCAAATAAAATAAAATAATATATTTCAAAAGTAAATTTCAATTCTTTGTTGTTTATTAATTTTATAAATAAAAATTATTTTAAGGATTTTTTTTGTAAAAAAGGAAATTTGGTTTAGTTCTGATTTTTTTTTAAATTTTAATTTATAAATAAGGTTTTAAATTGTAATGTATTTATTTTAAGAAATATAAAGCAACACAATCAAATGTTGTTAATTATTTGTCATTTCCTTTTACACATACTTTTAGTTTTTCATAAATTTTTTGCTTTTAAATATTAATAGAAAAATTGATATTTTTTTTTAAGATTTTGAATGCATTACATGAGTTCAACAATAATAAATACATATAATATTAAATGTAGCTTTTAAAATTTAAGAAAGAAAGAAAGAAGTAAGATTAAATATATAACAAAGTAAAAATAACTTTAAAAACAAATTAGTTTATAAGGATTTAAAAATGAAATTTAAATATTGTAATTAAATTGAAATAAAATGATAAAACAATAATAGTAAATAATTAATTTATCAAATGAATTGGACAATTTATATTTTAAAGTAATTAAAAAATTATATAAAATATGTATAGATATATATACATATACATATATATAAACATACAAGAATATAAAAAATAATGCTGTATAAAAAATTTTGCAGACAAAGGCATTTTTGTCATTTTTAAAATAATTTTCTTCGTAAAGATTAAAGTAAGAAATTCATATATATACTTATATACATTCATACATATAAGTATGAACAGAAATTTGAGCATTAAAATAACAAAAAGTCTTTTGCACTGTTATCACAAAATAGTTTAAGGACCCGCAGATCAATACAATATTGATTAATTCAGTAATTTAATTTTTTCTTTTTTTTTTTGGATTAATTTTTTTCTTTTAATTTCCTTTAATAAATTTCTGTTAAAAAATAATCAATTTGCCAAAATGCAAATCTAACATCAAATTGACTTCTTCCGTTATTAGAAAACAGTATTGCTGAATAAGTCAAGTTGACGTTAGATTTGCGTTTTGGTAGTCATCGTATGTATATCAATTATATAATATAACATACAGACTATATCAAGTGTGGATTAAAAAAAATTTGCTTTTTACTTTCGAAATGAAAGTATTAATTTAGAATTTCTTTTATTTTCTTTGGTTAAGAAAAAACCATAACTTGTTTGATTGTTTGGTTTTATAATATTGTACTTATAATTATTTGCTATTTTTTTTTTTAATCTGCGTTTATGTTTTCGTATATTTCAGTAATAAAAAAGAACGCATACAAACCCGCACTTATCGAATGATATATAACAAAAATTCATTTACATACATATATAAATATTATAAAAGTTTGTATAATGTATATATTTTACTCTTTATTACATTAGCGTTTGCAATTTTGCATGAATTTGCTTATAATATATTTTATTTTGGATTTAATATCTGTCTACTTAATTTAACAAATATTTTAAAATGAAATTTTCACACTATGAAATTTGTAGAAGACCTTAGAAATTTAAAGAAATTAATTATTGGTGTTATACTTGATTTATTTTGTTTGAGTTGATGAAATTTTAAAAGTTTTACAAAAATAAGTGCATATATGACTGTCTCAATGAAAAATGTAGTGTGTACGTAACAATAACTTTTTTTTTGTAATGCAGAAATATTGCTTAACATGATATAGTTTTATGATTCGAACTGCAATTCGAGCCTTTATGATATAAAAAATTTTCGTGCTTTAACATTAAAATAACATTTAACGTTTAATTTACGACAAATTGCGGTTAATTTAATGATAGAGCAAACTATAATTATTGTTGACAGTCAATTAACAAGAGATTATTTGATGAAATGATATTTTTTTTTTAATTAAAATTTTTGTTTTGTGCTTTTAATATAATTAATATAGTAGAAGCAATTTTTCAAATATTTTGAAATAATTTAGAATTTAATCATTGTGAAAATTAATTCTTTTTTTTTGGTGAAAATGCAAATTTATATATTCATGCCTTCATATTTTTTATTATAATTTTGTAAAATTAATTTTGAATAAAAAAAAAATATAAAACAAAAAACAAAAAACAATATAAATAATTAATTATTAAATAAGTAAAAGAAAATTTTTAAAAATACAAACAATTCACACTGATGAAAAAAAAAAACAAAGTTTTTAAATTTTAAAGGTGAAAATTCTTTAACAATTTTCATATTTTAATCAGTTTGAAAGTTTTTAAATATATATAGATACATATATTATAAGTAAATAATTTAAGTATATATATTTATATAAATACAAATATACATATACATATATATATATATATATATATTTATAATTTGAAATGTAACATGAAATTTAAATCTTTAAAACAAAGAAATGATAATAAGTGAAATGAGAGAAGAAAAATACAAATTGTAAATAAAAAAGAAAAAAAAAATGATAAAAATAATCAAAAATAAAAACAAAAAATTTTTGTAGAATTCTTTGAATAATTTATTTTTATTTGAGACACAATGAAGTCTAATCTTTCCGTTTTAAATAATAAAAAATATTTTGATTTCAGTATAGTTAAAATTTTGATTCGTTGAATCCGTGACCTTTAATTTATAATCTTTTTCAAATTTAGAATACTTAAATTGACCAAAGCAGTATTTTTGAATTGAAGTTTACAAAAAGTTAGTAAATTTTTTCTGTTACAATATAAAGTTGCATGGCATGGAACTTATACATATTCGTGAATAGCTCAGCGGATTTTCGATAATTCAGATATGCACTTAGAGTTAAATTTTAAAAATCTTTCCTTGCATTACTACAGATTTACAGGAACTAAATAAGTAGTTTACTTTTGCAAATTTTTTAACAGCTTATATTTTTCCATGTGAGTTTTTTTTTATACCCTGCACCTTCGTGAAGGGTATATTAACTTTGGTATGAAGTTTGTAACTACTTGAAGGAGTCATCTGCGGTATAGACATATATATATATGCTTGCTCAGTGTAAAATTCTGCGTTCATTTCCACGTCCGTCCGTCCTTCCGCCGATCGCACAATAACTCAAAAACAAATAATGCAATCGACAGCAAACTTTCACAAGTTTTTTATTTTCTGCCAAGGACGAACCCTATTGTAATTGGATCAATTCGCACAACGGGTTCGGATAGCTGCCATACAGCTCAAAGAGTTTATTTTAAATATTTCAAAAACTAATAAAGGTATAAATATGAAATTTTGTATACGCGTGTCCAATTACATTTTACAAATGCGCTAAAAATTTTAATGGGATCCCTGAACCGGTTCGGGTAGCTGCCATACAACTCCAAAAGCAAATTTTAAATAGCTAGAAAAAGAATAAAGTCAGATTCATGAAACTTGGTAGTTGTGTGTCCATTTATAGGTCAGATATATTTCCAAAATTTCGGTGGAATTGCTTGACAGGTTCGGGTTGCTGCCATACCACTCCAAAAGCTAATTTAAATTATTTGGAAAAATATTAAAGCCAGATTCATGAAAGTTGGCAGTCGTGTGTCCAATTAGAGGTTAGGCATATTCGTGAAGTTTTGGTTGAATTACTTGACAGATTCGGGTAGCTGCCATAGAAGTTCAAAAGCTAATATTAAATGTTTGGAAATATAATAAAGTAAGATTAATGAATAAGTGTGTCCAATTATAGGTCAGATATATCCGTGAAGTTTCTACAGAATGGTTTCACAAGTTCGAGTAATTGCTATACAAAAATGAAAGTTGCAGGGTATAATTCAATTGGTTTATACCGACTGAAACGTTTTTACTTGTTTAAACTTAATATTTTTGCAGCTTTTAAAAAAATCTTTAAGCACGCTACGATTTTCAATCATGCTTCGTTTTTAGTAAAGATTTACCGCACATGCGACATTTGAAGATTTTGTAGTTTTTTAACATATGTACTTTGAATTAAGATTTAAGTTAGAATTGTATTTTCGAAAATTCCAATACTTACTAATATGTACTTGGTTATTAAATTTTTTGTGTTTATTTTGATAACCATTTTGTTCCTTCATTTCACGCAGATTCAAATGAGTTAATCTTATAAGACGCATAAAAAAACAATTTTTTGAAAGCCAGAAAATTACTTTTTGTAAGTTTGCTGTGTATGTAGGTTTAGTAATATTTTCTTTAATAATGATAAACCAATGTTAAATAATCGGATACATATATTTTATTAGTGTCGTATAACTTGAGGTGAGGCGTTGTTATTAAAAAATCTTGAAATTTTTTGAATAAAATCAATTTTGATATTCGAAATTCTATACTAAAAAACAAAATTCTTTTCAATAATATCCCATTCTGATGGGATTAATAGACTATGGGTGAATAATATTTTATACAAAGTAAAATTTGTATAAATTACTAAAAATAAAACACAATCTACACAAAAGCGCATTATAATAAAAATTCATGAGATAATTGAATACTTATCACCCCAATACTCGTTTAAATGTAAAATGAATATTGTAATTAGAAAAATTTGTTTACATAAAAATCGAATTTAATCACTTAGATTACTTAGAACACACAAAATTAAATACATTAAATTTCTTGTTTCTATTTTCTTATTACAGCGTTTTTTGCTTACGTTTTAATGATAACAATTTTTTCTGAATTTTGGATTTTAAATATTTTTCTTTTAAATACATTATTAATCGACTTCTAATTTTCTAAATGATCCATCAAAACCAAATAATAATTCTGGATTCTTAACTGGTCCTATCCGCTTCGATTCATCAGTTTTGTACTGTTCATCGTCCAAGAACCATTCTCGTTTTGATAACAAATCATCTTTCCACTTACCTAAAAATAAAAAAAAATTAAAAAAAAAAAAACTTGTTTTCGTTTAATAAAAATTGCAATAAAATTTCAATATTTTTTTTTCTTGATACATGTTTAAATTTTAATTTATTTAGTAGATAACTTACAAATCCATAAGTTAATTGAACCGTTATCACCTCCATATTCATTTGGAAGTAATTTTTTTGGTATATGCTTTTCTAGTTCTGCAACATTATCATGAACAAAAAGCTGTAATAGAATAAAATTTTATTTTTTAAAAATTTTAGCATAATTGCTAAACAAAGTTAAGGAAAATATTATGAAACTGACTCTTTTTCTTATTTTTTCACTTAAAAATCCACTTAAAAGTTTAAAAAAGAAATCAAAAGCTGAGGGAACATTAACAAAATGGATGGCTTTCAATCGAAATGGATATGCATCTTGAACGAATTGAGCCATTTTCCTGTAAAAGAAACATTTTTATATTTGTTTTACATATTTATTTTTTCATTACTTCACAAATGTTGGAGTAAATTGTGCTCCATGAGCAAGAGATAAATCTTTAACATCAACTATCACAACGGTTCCACAAACAACAAAATTATCATCTTCGACTAATAGTTGATCTCCTATCATAAAACCAACTTTCGCAACTTCATTCATATCAAAATGTTTCGGATCAAATAAACACATTCGATTAATAAGAACTCTACTGCCATCTGATAGTGCATCAGGAAATGGTATAACAACTCTGTACAGAATAGAATAGTTTTTTATTTATAAATTTAATGTCAAATAAAACTTTAGTTTAAGTACGGATAATATTTACCCTTTTTCCAAAATTTCTAATATTTTTTTATCGAAGGGATCACGTATTGCGTAAAATTCTGGAGCTGTTGTCCTATAAGTATAATATGCATCTAATTTTTCTTTTGCACGTTCTATACTATTCTTACAACCTCTAAGGAATGCTATTAAAAATTGGTCATCTATAAATACAAAAATTATTATGGAAGATATAAAGTTAGACAAGGTGAAGAAATTTTATATATTCATAATTGTTCATAATGAACGCGAGTTTTTAACTATGCATATATAGTTCATTAATGTTTTGAATCCTTGTGAAATTGAAACTTTGCAATTTTTTGAATAATATTGAAAAAAAATTTAAAAACTTTTTGGTGCAGTAGACCTTTGTATCTTAATTCAGTTGGATACAAATAAAGTCGGATCATACCAATGGTTTGTAAAAAAGCACTTTTTCCTTCAACAAGAGTAAGAAGGGCTGAGGAAGGGGGACGGGGGGAGATAACTAAACATTTTCTTCTACTACGGAAATAAATTTCTAGTAAAGATCTATGAAATTTCATGTTTCATCTTAAAGGGTGTAGAAGTTTTGTAAACATGCCCACGAACAGATGGACGAACTTACGAGCAGTGTAATAAGAAACTAATAAGAACTTTTTTTCAAAATTTCTTTTTGAAAAGTTTTAAAAATACAAATATTAACCATATAAACTATACTCTTCGAAATCTACTTTTACTATACTCTTTTAGTACATATTCTTGTAAATTTTCTGAGTGAGTAAAATTTTAATGCAGTAGTTTTGAAAATAGTTTATAAAGCTTAAATTTTTTTCCATTCAGTGTACATTTATATGACACACAGTGCTTGTTTTAGTATCGTTCGCACATGTATTTTTAATGATGCATATTGTTGTGTATAAGCTCTTGAATTTTGATTTAAATAATAATAACAAAAAGAAACAAAATGTGTACCTTTGCCCAAATTTAAATATTATTTTTCCGTAATTCACATGCTTACAATTTATTTTTTATGTCTAATATAGGTTATAAAATATCAAAAGTTTTGATAAGATTACACTAAACTGAAAAACTGATATTAAAAAAAAAGATACTTTAAAGAACTTTATAGTGCTTAGTAAATATGAGAAATATAGAAGTGATAAGAATTTTAACGTATACAAAAACTATGAATAAAGTATTAAAAATAACGTGGAAATTAAAAAAAAAATGTCACCGTAATTGCAAATATATGGTAAGTATATTGAGTTTTCAAGGGGAATAATCAAAAATTGTTTAGAAATATTATATAATGACTTGCTACTAATAATGTACAGTTGCATCTTTAACATATATGTTAAGTTTACATATAATTAAAAGGAAGAATATATTTTCAATACAAAAATTATTAGAGCTCTCATTTTTGCATCATATCTGAAGTGTCTACGAAATATAATAAGAAAAATAAAAGAATGTAGGAAATCTTGGACTACTAATTTACTTAAAAGTTAGAGATTACTATAAATGTACCTATAAATTACTTCATATAACTAATATAACTTTTAATTAACAAACCGCCGCCGAATGCCATCGTATTGAAAATGCTATTTTCTCACTTTTATACAGTAGAAATGCAAACTTGAGGTGACTTGCCATAATGAATATTTTCGTAATCTCAGTGATGCGAGTATTAATAATCGATTTATACATTCATTAGTATTTGCTTGGTATTCATATTTTGTTTAGATTTATAATGTCTGAGTAAATTTAAATATGAAAAACAAATTACCTTAATGTTATTTTTGCTTTCATGTACATCTTTTTTTTTGTACTTCAATAGCATTAATTATGGCTTAAATTTTTGAAACGAAATGGATTGTATCACGTGGGTATTTTTTAATAAATATTATTTTTCAATAAGAAACTCTATAGTTTTTTAAATAAACTATACTCCGACATAAAATCAATAAGTTCGTACCTTTTTAGTTTCTTATGGGTTTTAATAAAATTTTAAAGAATAAACAACAAATATTCCTTCATACAATTGCAGAGCAGATTGATGACGTAATTAATGGAAGAAATCAAGAAAGAAAAATTGAAAAATTCTTCTCCTCAATCTGGACTCGAACTCAATAACTTAGTTTTCAAAACAATATCAATATCAGTCACACATCTACTATACTCATACTATACTCACCTTTTCTTGCTTTAATATGCGGTTGTTTGATAAGCCATTCTTTCAATTGTTCCAAATCACTTGCAATTCTAAGAGGATCTTCATTTAATTCATTTCTAGCTACTTTTGTCAATTCGGGTGATAATTCTCTTATTTCTGGAACACTGTCGGCTGTCATGGTTAAATATTTTTATATATATGTATATGCTTATGTGTTCGTTTTCTTAAAAACAAAAACTTAATTTTTCCACTAAAATATATTGTTTTTAATATTCACTAAGTTATTTATTTAAATAACCAAATTAAAATACATGTGTACGTATGTAGGTATTTATTTTATTTATTTTATAGATTTATATTATTAATTTGACTGGTCTCTTCTTCAGTTTATTCTAAACTGATATTGTATAAATTTGGAAAAAAATTTTTAAGCGAGTACACCTTAATTTTGAAAATTAAAAAAATAAGAGAGAAAAAAAATTTAACAATAATAATTAATTAAAATCAACTGTACATTGTATGCTAATATGCAGTTCAAATGGGAAATTTCAGTTTGTTACTATTTTAATTCTAAAGGAAAGTCTTTATTTAAAGTGTAGAACAAAAACAAAAAATTTATGTCAATTATAAAAAAAGAGCGTTATATACAATTCACTTCAATTCTAGCTCTATATAAGTTTCGACAGAGCTTTTATAATAGGAAAAAATAAAGAAGAAAAACCTAAACAGACTGAATTTTATGTTTATATTTTGATAACTACAATCGCATAACGATATGACGATATGTCATATCGGTCTATATAGTATGTATTATATAATGTAAACATAACTATATTACTATTATGGGAAAATTTCTCTTATACTACAAAAATTTAATATATGTATAATAATAACAAATATTTTATTAGGAAAAAATGAGAATTATTAAAAAAATTGTATTCTAATTGAAAAAAATTTCTATTTGGGTGAGGTTCGATTTTATATGGTTTGTCAAACATGAATGAGCGGAAAAGTGAAGAAAACTTTGATTTCCCAATTAGTTTGGTATAATTAGGTATAAATGTTTAATGTCCGACCTTTCCGGCTGCATATAAATTATTTTATGTATTTAATTAAAATGTAAATTTATACAAATTTTGCACTAACAGCACAGCACTTATGCTAAAAGGGAAAAGTATAAAAGAGAGTTTTTTTTTTAACTGTATAAAATTTGCGTATGCTGCAAATTTTTGCAAGAAGTTTAGATAAGTTTGGCTACTTTATTATCGTTTAATTTTTTTTATGGGCATTTTTTTCTGAATCTTCTTTTACAATATTTAAAAAAAACACACATACTTTGAAAGGAATATAATTGAATTATTTACGCAAAAACTCTTTGATTTGACAAGGATTATTTCCTTAAGAAGTGCTATAATTTTAATTTTGAATTAAAACTCATGATTTACCAACTTTAGTACTTAAGTTTTATATTTTTTCCTTTATTAGATTGTATAATTATAACCAGTATTTTTACTTTATATTATAACCAGTGTTGCCGTCACAGAAGTAGGAAAATCGCCATTTTATATACGTTAAAATTCTACATTCAAATAATTTTCAAAGCTGACAATCCGCTAGAATAGACCAAAACATAAGCAACCCTATTTGATTATGAAAAAGAAACTAAAATTTTGAATTCATTTTAATATTTTTATATTGAAAAACAAAATCATTTCAAATAAAAAAATTATAAAAAAAACAAAATTTAAGCAATACGAAATCTTCTACTATACTATTAATCCATCAAAAATGGCAATAATGTATTGATTTTTCTCTTTCTTTATTATTATTTTAGGGGCATTATTTAGAGCTAAGACGCGTATAGTCTCTATAAATATAGCGACAAAAAATCGCTTAAACGGCATCACTGATTATAGCAGTATTATATTGTTGTAATTATATTCAAATTATCAATTTCAATTAAATTTAATATTAACTTGTGTATTATTCGGCATAACATTATAAAATGTTGCATATTTATAGGATATCGGCTTATTTTGCGTTTCTTATGAATTTGTGAAACTACGGAAATCTGAATTGTCATAAAAAGATTGAGCAAACCATTCTCAAATCATTCTCATTTTCACATAACCCACCTTATTGTATACACAATGCGGTCGGTAAACAACGATTTTGGAAGATGATACGTTATTTAGTATGAGTTAAAATGAATACGAAAAAGGCTTGTTTGTTCATTTTAAAATTCAGACTCTGGGACCAAAAAGGTTTTAAGGATAATATTCTTAGAAAATTCACTAGTGAAACGTACTTAAATAAGTGATAAATTACATTTATTCAATAAAATTACTTATTGACTAAACGCGTTGTATATTTATGAGTTTCTCTGTAATGCCACAAATTTCCGAAAGAGTATATATAGGTATACAATTATAATAATGAAAAATAATCAAATATAATATTTTTAAAATTTATTGAAATTTCATTACATTTTATATTTTATTTCACCTTTTACAAAAATTTCACTTTTTACAAAATTAATTCAACATTTAAATACAAAAATTAACTTTAATTTACCACCTATAAGGTTAAATAATATTAATCATACAAAAATATGAATTAAAAAAGAAAAACACAGAATAAATTAATCAATTTCCAGTTTCTTGAAAGACCCCTCAATTCCAAACATATCATTGTTTTTTGATTGTCCAACTCTTTTTGATTCATCACTTTTGTATTGTGCATCGTCTTGAAGCCATTCTTTACTCTTTAACATAATTGGAAGGATATATTGTGCTTTAAAATGGAAATAAAAATTTTATTTAATTAAAATTAAGTTTTAAATTTTAAAATGAACAAGAACCTGATATTTCTGCACATGTACCAGCATCACCGCCGTATTCGTTTGGCAATATGTTCTTCGGAACACATTTATGTAAACTTTCAAGATTGTCATGTATAAGGATCTGTGTAATAAATTAAAATCAAAAAAATTTTTTTTTAAATGCTATCTTAATATTTATAAAATTGTATACACACATATAACGGTAAAATAAATAAAATAAGAAAAAAACACTTCTTACTCTTTGAGCCATTTTATCTCTGAAAAGAGTCCTAAACGTTTTTAAAACCATCTGAAAAATTGGTGGAGTTTTGTCAACATTAATCAAGTGAAAATGTTTAATTCGAATTGGATATGCATTTTGTATTCCTAAAGCTAATTTACTAAAATTTTGAGAAAAAATATTGTTAATAATATTGAATCGGGTACTAATAATAATATATTGATGAAATATTATAATAATTTACTTAGCCAATTGTAAAACTTGTGTTGCTAATGCAATGGTACAACCTTCGACATCTAAAACTGCATGGGCACCAGCTATTGTTAAATGATCATCATATATGCAAATTCTATCATTTACCATAGTAGTAATGCGAATTATATCTATAATACCACAATCATGCTTTTGTAAATTAGATACTACAGTTACACTAACGCGTGATCCATCTGGATGGGATTCTGGTGTTGGAAAATAAGTCCTAAAATAAAAAACATTTGAAAAAAATCATAAATAAAAAATTCATATGAGAATAGTATAAAAAGGGTAACCTACCCACTTTCTAGAAGTCCTTTTAATTTTATATCATATGGATCACGATCTCTAAAGAATTCCGGTGCCAGACTTCTAAATGAAAAATATGTATCTAATTTACTTTTTGTTGCTTCTAAACTATATTTTGATGTTCTAAGAAATCCTATGAGAAATTTGTCATCTAAAAATATTAAAATATGCATGTATGTAAGTACATATGTCTACGATCCACAACTTATATATATTTATTTAATAGTATACCTAATCTTGGTGTTATATGGGGTTGTTTTAATAGCCATTCTTTAATATGTTCTAAACTTTCATTAATACGAGTTTGTGTTTCATTTAATTCTTCTCTAACAATTTTTTGTAATGTTGGATTTTTTGGTGTAAAATCATGTTCCTCCACAGCCATTATTTTTTATTTTTTGTTTAAAATTTGAAAATCTAAAAATAAGTTGGTAAATTTTTTTCATTTGCAAAATTTAAATAAAATTTTTATAAAAAATTTAAATATTTTATACTATTAAATTTGAATGTTCACATTATTACTAAAGTACATAAAATTTATTGTCGCCTTAAAATTTGAATTAGAGAAGCAGTGTTCCAACTCGGTAAAAAAAATGCGTTTAATTTCGAGGAAAAAAATGTATTCAAAATGTATCCCGCTTCGTAAAGTAGAGTTGTTATATACTAAGTCGTCTTATTTTGTACAAACTAACTCATACTTAATATTAATTTGCTTTATTCTGTAATGTGAGCTTTACTATTTATAGTAATAAACAAGATTTATATTAGAAATAATAATGAGAAATCACATACAATTTCTGTTGCATGTTAATTGTAAAAGTTAAGGTCAGAATATATACATTCTGTAACTCCGGTAAAGGTTATTTACCATGAAAATTTAAAAAAGATTGTCCCGGAAATGCATTTTCTACTATATCTAGCTTACACCAGTATGTTTCTAGTATATTTTTGTCTAAAAGTTGTAGATTTCAACAGAAGGAGGGTGGCACCAACTGAATATATTCTCATTCTTATTTTCTTCTAAAATAAATTTATTTTGTAAATCTTTTTAAAGCAAATAACATTTGTTTTTGAAAATAAAGTAATTTCGCGATTTAATATTAGCAACAATTTGACAGTTTAAAAATATTTTTAGTGTTTGAGCAAGAAATGCATTCATATTTCAGAAAAATATTCAAATGTAGCCTATTGCGGCATTTTGGCAGATTTGAGTATCTTTGTTAATTTTAAAGCTAAAATGTATCCAAATAAATACAATTATTGTATACGAATGGGAACGCTGCCGAGAAGTTGAAATTTTTTTCTCTAATACATGGGGGCAGAATTTTGATTTTTATTCTCATAAAATAGATTTTTATTTTTACTCTCATAAAAGACGAAGGACAACAAGATCTTGTTACAAATTTCTCAGTTCGTTTTTAGGTTCTATTTAATTTTTAATAGATAATATTTTGTCTATTACTATATGTGACTAATTAGTTTCTTCTGAAAAAATTGTAATAACTATGAAACAGGAGTAGGTAAAAAGAATTTGTAAATAAACCATTTAATCATTGTCTATAAACTGTTGAAATTGTAGATTTAGATGGTAGATTTGAGGAGTTGTCGTGTAAGAGAAAAGTAATAGAAAAAATTAGCGAAAAATCGGTTCAAGATACATATATAACGGACATTAAAAACACCTGCTTAAAAGTTTAAAATTTATTCATAGTTTGGTAAAATAGCAAAAATTTATATTGACCCTCTTGCTTTTCAGTTAAGGCACAATTGCATGTTATAAAATTGCACTCTTACCATTTTGAATAAGATGTGCGGAGGTACGGAATTTTTTTTAAACTAGAGAAGTAACGTTTTCACTAAGGTTTATTTGCTCGAAACTATTAACATATTTTTACAATAATTTTTTTTAAAATATCAATTTAGTTTGGTCGATTATTTACTTATTATTTTCAATATTCTATTTATAGAAAACTGCGATATGAATCACTTCGAAATCAGGTTTTAATTTTCGATCAGAATAAAATAAAATAATTTAATACATTAAAGTCAAATTAATTTATTAGAATTAAAAAAAAAAATATTAAAAACTTTCATAATTATTTTAATTTTTTAAACAACATTTGTGACCAACTACATGTATACCATCCTTAAAAATGTTAAACCGTCATTCAAAGATTTATTAAACAATATGCAAACTCAAAAAATTGTGTCACACTATTTAATATCCACGTATTTCGATACGTCCATTGTATGAAATTTCCGAAGAATTAAACTGTACTCAGAATATTTGTTCATATAATCAGTTTTAAAATATTTGAGGTTATTGTATTTTGAATAAAAATAAGGAAATTAAAATTAATTTATCCAATTTTAATTTTACAGAAAAACATGAGATATCAGACACAAAAAGAAAATTTTAAGATTAATGCTCTGTTAATAATAAAAGCCTGTATATACAAAACCGGCTTTATTTTAATAATAAAACTCATAAATGTTAATCTTATTTAACTTTTATATAATTTATTTTAAGAACAGGGCAAAAACTGGTTTGTGAAATTTAAAGCGGAAATCAAAGCAAACTTTAAAATTGAATTAAATTATTTGAGTATGAAGTGAAATTTAAAAAAAATGGTTTATTCCTTTTGTACAGCCCTATTGGTTACTAACCAGGGCAGTGATTTTTTTTAATATATTTAACAAAATTATTTAATCCCACATATTAATTTTGTATAACACAATAATTTAAGAATATTTTTTTGATATTTTCATTGCTGAATTATTAAATTTAAAAAAAAAACATTATTTATTTCCAATTCATTGCAATTAAATTTTAATTATATATTTTGTACTTGTTTTCACTATTTTGTTCATCTTTGTATAATACATACAAAAATAATGTTTTATAATAGCATATTGTTCATATACCGTTGACAATAAGTTTATAGCACTGTTATATTAAAATTATTTCATGTAATTCAATTAAATCTCATAATAATTTACAAAACTTGCTGTAGCTTTGTTGTGTAAAATAAAATTGTAATTAATTACTTTAATTTTGTAAAAATCAAACGCGTTTCCATAATTTTTTTTTCATTTGTTTTTAAATAATGATCTAAAAATTTAACTACCTTAACTACTTCTATTTTATAATACGAGTATCACCAATTATTCTTAATGATAGTTCTAATTTTAAATAGAGACGTAATAATCTAAACTAAACGAATAAAAAAGAGCAAAAAAAAAAAAAACTGGAATGTTATGTACTTTTTTTTTAATAAAAAATTTTAGCTTTCAATTTCTAAACTCATCAACGTTTCAAATACGACTGATGTTGTTTTTAATTGAAAACAAGCGCTTTAAACTTATTTCCCTATACACATATTAAAAATTATGATTGTTTTATTTTTTTTTTTCTTGATTGAGGTTTAGATACAAAAAAAACACAGAACAATAAATTCGCAAAATAACATCATTAAGTTGTGGGTAGAATTTTCAGTTGTACTGTAGACTGTAGTATAGAAAAAAAGATACACTAGCTTCGATGATTATTAGTTGACTTTCACAATAAAAACTGTAACAATGTATACTATACCATCATGTAAATATGTATGTGTCTGTATTATATAATAAAGTAGTAATATTAAGTAATTTTATTAATTACTCATGCGTACTCCCAAAATTATTAATTTGAAGTTCAAGTTCAAATTCAAATTATGTACATATATATTCAATGTATTCATAAGTTGATCAGATTATATTTCAAAAATTTTGTTATATTATATTAAAGTTGGAATAATTACACTTTGTATATACATATAAGGTGTCCGAGACTGGATTATGCTCACGAAACACAATGATGATAAAATTAGTCTTGATGAAAAAAAAATTATAGTCTTTTTGAAAACTGGCCAAATCTTACACATTTATTATTGGGAACTTGAGAAATATAATAGGCAAAGCCAACAACTAGGTGTGAAGTAATTTTAAAGCTTATAAAATTCTCTTTCTAACGGTGTAATAACAATATTAAAGATTTTTATTAGTTTCAGTGATATTAATAAGTGCAAGACCAAAATTTTTAAGAATTTTTTTTTCCAAAAAAGTTTTCTTTAATTGCAATTTACTCATAATTAAACGTCCCTAATCTATCGATTTTTTATAGGAAATGATGTCTAGTATATTGACCTTCATTCTGATGTAACATTATTGTATCAAGAATCTAGGAATAACATGTCTATCAAGCAAAAACCTGAAGTCAAAATTTAAAAAAAATAATAAGAACAAAGTATAATTATAGTACCGTTTCTTTTCTAAAATGAAAGGTATTCGCGTCACCTTTATTTCAATACCAAAAATTTTCAATTCTATTTTTACTATAAGTCAATTATAATCCAGGTATATTGAGCATTCTGCATGTTGGCCTTGGTGTTTTTTTTTTGTTCGTTTGGACGCATTCCACTGCTGTTGGAGTTTAGCGAACACCTTATACATATATAACAAAAACTTTTTTTTGACAATGTTTTCTTTGTTTAACATTAAACGTAGACAGCATACCCTTTTCCTATATAAAAAAGCTATGTTGTATGTTATAGCAAAAATAATTTTTCTTTTATAAAACAGTTTTTTACATTATTTTGTACCTACAGTTTTTTAAGAATCGAATGATGTTTAAAGAATCAATGCGATACTGTTATATTTTTCTTGTGACTTAAAAATATTGGATTTGTTCGGTAGTTCCTTCACAATGTTTTTTGACCACAATGTGACATTATTGTTTTATGAATTCTCAAGGTTCTTATATTAAAAAAATTTAAAATAGAAACATCAGAATTAATTTGACATAAATTTTCTCGAAAATTTTGTATGCTTGCGATTTAATATATCAAAAATTGATGCATGTGACATAGTCTTAATATGTATTAACTATATTATGAAGTTTATAACTAATTTCTAAAATTATATTATTTACTAAATCCTACGCTCGATATCATATTAATTATTCGGTAGCAAGAGTTTAGTGTTTTAAATACAGTCCTTTCGAATAATTAATTTTCTTCTATATCATTATTTCCGTAAGAAATATTCAGTTGTATATGTATGTTTTAATTACATAATATAATTAAAATAGGTGTAATTTTTAAAAACGATATATGTAATATTTAACCTTTTATTTAAGGCGGGTATTATTTATTCATATATGTTATCGACTTATTTTTTAATACAGCTGATTATTTTTTTTTCTATTACCTGCTATTTTCAAAGCTTTTACTAAGAGATACAGTGACTGACGTACAAATTAAAAGTAACCGGTCTTTGTTATAAATTTAATATAAATTTGAATTTATAACAGGTTTTTCTTTATCATTATATATTTTATTTCTGTTATATCATAAATTTCATGTAAGTTTTTATAATATTTTAATCTAAAGTGAATTTTAGAACAAGTCAAGTTTTATCCGTTCATTTTTTAAAGAGAAATGTACCTTGCGACTCGCATATTAATTACGAGTACAACCTATTAATATCAAATCCAATTCTCGAAAAGTAAATTTTTGGGAATTCATTATTTTACTGTTTTGGTTTTTATTTTTAGATATAAAATCTTTAAAACGAAGATACGAATATTCAATCTTTTACTATATGCTTTATGCAGTCAATTCTTTAAACGTACATAATATTGTAATCAATATTAATGTTTAAAGAATGTAAGATCTTTAATTGTGTTCCCTGCCATAAATGGTAGATTTTAGTCGAATTCTACCAACTGCGTTAAATTTCGATTTCCAAAATAACTGAGGGTTGTAAATTATGGTTAATATTAGAGTAAAAATTTAATATTCTTTTTATAATTATTTACAAATTTAATTATAGATTTGCTTCATATATAAGTAATGTTGTTTTGAAATGATGTCGTTAATTTTTTTTTATTACGTGTTTAGATTTACGGGTATATGGTTATAAATCTCGAAATAACAAAATTATAGCTCTGTACATTGAGAGAGAATTTCAATTATCACCAAAAATAAAAATTGGTAATTTTAACATGTTCCTTTAAATATTATAAAAATGGGTTTTTAACAAAATCTCCAACAAAATTCAATTTTTCATTGGAAAATTTTTAATATAAAAATAAACACACAATTAAAATATATTATAAATGCACTTGCACAACATTATAAAAATAGCAGAAAATAAAACAAAGTTAAACAAGAAAAGTGTGGTGAATAATTAAGTAGGAAAAATGTAAATTAGATTTAAATTAAATTAATTAGATTTAATTAAACAAGTTGACCTCATAAGTATGTATGCATGCTCCCTGATAAAGTTTTAAAGAGCTGCGAATGAAAAAAGCCCAATAGTTCATTACGCCTAAAAAATTTGTTTAATAATTAATTAAAACTTTTCTTAAAGTTATAAAAAGTATGGGCGGCATTAGCAAGCCAACTTATTCTGATATAACACGCTTCAACAGTCATTTTTATTTATTAAGAAAACTGCGAGGTTAATTTCATTTAAATAATTTTTTTCTTTATAAAATTTATGTTATCAAAAATTTGCAATCTAGAGAAATTGTGATTTTGTGCAAAACAGAAATTTTTTGAGCGCTTATTTCTGTATGACTAACTGAGAAAAACTTCGAATTAATATTCGAAAAACTTTTAAATTCAAAGAGTGTATGTAGTACTGATTAGGTATCACTATGATTTTTATTCATATAAAATTCAAGAATGACCAATTACAACTCACGTGTACCTATAAATTTCCTGAATTAATAATGTGATGTATTTTTTTTAGAATAAAGTTAGTAAATTTAAAAAAACCTGATTTAACCATTTTTTTTCAGAAAACTTTTTTGTTGTACATAGCTACTGTCCCATTTTATATTCTCCACATAACTATTATAGATACGTCTTGTTTGTATATTTTATACAACATGTTAGCTGTCTATCACATAGAATGAATTCTTTTAATAATGATTGAATCGAATAACTAATTGTTTTGTTGCCACATTAGTTGTATATTAAATTAGTAATGCAAATTGTGTTATACTAAGTAGTGGAAAATAAGTAAAACTTGGAGGTAAATATATATACTTTATAGATTTAAGAATACAAAAAAAAAACAATTAAAATATAAGCCCTTGTATTTGTTCGGTTAAATTTTTCTCTGCTGTAAGAAAAATAAAATGTGCCATCGTACTGCTCGCAATTATAATTGAAGAGATAAGTGGACAAAGGGGTTAACTAACATTTTGACGAAAATCGAGCTCTTCGGATAGAACACCATTAAATTTGTTATATTTTCGACTGTGATTACTCTTATAGCTAGAAACTTAATAGAAGACGAGATTGGGTAGAAACTTAATAGAATTCGAGATAGTTTTTACAATTTGTTAATGAAAAAATGTGTCACAATACAAATTTAAGTTAACTCCTTTGTCCACTTATTACCTCTTCAATTGTTACAAAATACACTCTTACAATTATTGCCTAGAAATTAGATGCAAAATAGTTACCATTGTTAAGACAAACACAAATATTAAAAATTATTGGAAAAACACGACATAAACCAAAATTTTTCTTCAATATAAAATGCTTTCAATGCGATTATAGCCCAATGTCAAGCTTCCATATTAACCAAAAAAGATTATTAGTTCTATACTATTTCAATGCTTATAGGAAACTTGTTTATAGTTTGGAGTAAAATAAACGAGTTTGTTTGTGCATAGATTTCATGTATTCATATAAGCATTAAGTGCGGAAATTATTTTTATCTGAGGTATAATGAGTGTATTTGTAATTTTGATTTAAATAAGAAGGAAATTCAATTTTTTTTTAATATGTTTGTCATCAATTAAAAAAATTATATAGTAAAAATAAAAAAGTTTATTGAAAAAAAAAAATATCGAAGAATGCAAAAAATCAAATTTATTAAACTTGTTAAAATGTTGTACCTGGTTGTACTTTGATCTTACTTATTTAGAAGAGATTATAATTGGAAATGTTTAAAATTTCAAAATAAACAAGCATTAGGCATTTTTTTACATAGTAGTAATATTTTCGGTTTTTAACTGCGATTAGGTGGTTGTAGTTAGTGAATATATACTCTGCGGCGTCATAGACTACGATAAGACCATTTGTTTAACCACTTTTGGCCAAAATATTCTTGAAGAACTGATATCGAACATGAAAATTTACTAAATTACAAAAGCTTACATCTTAACCAAACTTTTTTTCTTACTTACTTTCAATCTTGTGTAAGATACCATAGACTTATCTTTCGTTATATCATAATATACCGTGACTTCAATATTGCTTTATAAAAAGTTTGAGTACGGTATTAATATGATTGTACTACCATCTCAGAGTCTTCAATATCTTTACATTGTAATAAAAAATGCTAAAGCTATTTGATAAATTTTGGAATACAATTTTTACAACAATAATACAGACTTGTTTGAAAATTTCAATTTAAAGTTCTGTGCAAAAGTTAATTTTTAACAAACGTTACCACATCATTAAAAACATAGCACTTTTATAAGAAAAAAACTTAATAACTATCACTTTATTGCTGAAAATATATGATAATTTATTTAATTGGTTATTTGTGTCATTATTTATATGACACGTACAAGAAAAGTGTGCTCAATTTTTTCGACACCCAATTTACTTTTAATTTACGTATCCACTAAGTATAGACAGGAAAAGTGTTCAATATCAAGAGCTTTTACTAAACTTTTTGGTATGTGTTTCTTTGTAAAGTTTACGCTGTAAGCGTATTATTGAAGTCACGGATACTGTCCACATACTGTTCAAATCTATCTATACGCTATACAAACCCCATATTTTCTCCTATAATCCTAAACCATGGTGTCCGAATTATTATTTTGTTGTGAATCAAAAATCTTTAAATCCCTAATAGATAGCGTACTTAAGAAATTTAATTAATTAGAATTAGATTTTATTGAATCATCTTAGATTATACTAAAAATTTTATAATATTCGTTTTATAGAATGTTTTATTAAAAAAAAACATATATTTTATAATATTATTAAATCTACTATAGGTATATATTTTAATTTTTTATTATAAAGCAAGAATTCGTACAATAATTTGAACAAAATCTCATTTTGAAATAGTTTTTTATTTAAATAAAATAATAATAATATTTATATATATTATATAAACTAGCATTATTTATTAATGTATTTAAATTTACTTGTGATTTGAATAATCTAACTTTAAATATTACATATTATGCTAAGAATAGAGCAGTTATGGTTCTTACAATTGTATATGAAATCAATTAATTTTAAATTTATTTTATAATAGTCTAATAATAGACCACTTTTATAGCTGTACGTACCATACTATATATATTGTGTGGATTAAAAATTTTAATAATTAATAATGTTTATATTAATCTATATACTTAATAATTATGAAAATTAAATTGAACTTTTAACTCTTGTGCAAAATTGTCAGCAACACTTAACACTTATAAAGTTAAATAAAAAAAAAGATTACCCAAAATTTAATTGCGGTATTTATAAACAAAATTAAATTTACCCAATTCCCGAAGATTTGTTTAGAAGTATATTGCACTAGTTAATAATATGATTGAAGGATTTACATTTTACATTGTACAGGATTAAAGTAGAGAAGTTTTAATTTAGAACATTAATTTAAATTATTTGATAATAATTCAGTATTTAAAACAATTTATTTCAAAATTAATAATTATTTTTTTTTTTATTTTTATATTATAATCTTATTTTACTAATATAATCCTGATGGGATATCAGTAACTTTAGAACCTGCATGTGATTTTGTTCTCGATGTTGTTGCTTGTTCCTTAACCATTTGATTTGTACAGTTATTACTACAGTTGTTGTTATTATTACCAGCTATAATATTACTACTATTAGAACCAATTTTTAATGTTGGTGATGTTCCAAAATATATTTGTGGATTATTAAGTGATTTTTCCATTGGACCATTTGTAACAATATCAACCATTGAATCAAGTGCACAAGATTCAATTCTCTCTAAGCTTTTTGTAATCCTTCGGGTTTGGATAGCATTTGTAATATCTGGTTTTGGATATTTTTGTGGTCTATTCATTTCTGCCATAAAGAAAACCCCATTAAACTGTTGTGGTGGTAGAGTTGGCAGCGATGGTTGTTGATTTTGTAATTGTAAATGATGTTGGCTATGAACAATACTACTACTTGTATTAACAGTTTGATATTGATGGTGATAATATTGTTGTTGTTGCTGTTGGCTTTGAATAAATGTAGTTGAATTTGATTTTTGTATAGGTGTTATTGTTTGTGCTCTTCTTAATGCATTCATAGTTGGATCATCTTCATTTTCGCGTGCTCTCATTATAACATCTAATATTTCACGATTTGTACTTGAATTAATTGTTTGAGATAATTGATGATGGTTATGATGACCATTATGGTGATTCATATGATCTCGAGATTCTTCATCACTATGTGGTTGATATGATTTTTCTGGATCATATTCGATATCATCAAAATACATATTACGATTATTATTTTGTATTAATAGCATACCATATTCAGATGGATCTAAATCAGAACCACCATTTGAGAGTAGATGTGCTAGAGAACGTGACTTTCTTGGCGGTTGTGGCAACAAATTAACAGGTACAATTTCTTGTTCTTTTGATGTCGAAATATATTTTAATTGTTCAATATTAATATTCCTCATTGAATTAGGATCTTTCTCTGAATCTGATATTTCATTTTCTTTTGAATCAAATTTTTCATCGCCATCTGCTAGTACAATACTCAGAGAATTATTTTGAGGTAAGACTAATATTGGAACAGGACTTAATGAGGGCCCTGTTTCCGAACTACTTATCCCTTCATCTTCATGCTCTGATGAGCTTTGTTTACTATTGGGTGGTACATGGCGTGGAAGTGCAACTGGTCGTTTATCCAAACTACGTAATGTATCATTTTGAACACCTTGGAGACGAAAAACTTGACGTTGAAGCTCAGCGCATCGTTCTTGAAGACGACGTTCCATTGATGTTAGCACAGACTTTTCTTCTTGCAGAATCTAAAATCACAAAAACAAAGATTTTGGTACTAAAAGTTTTTTAAAACATAAATTGATTTACCTGTACTCGTCTTTCTAATATTACCATCTGACTACGAATTCTTTCAGACTCTCTTGCCAAAGATTGCAATTTATCTACGTCAATTCGAATTTCTTCAAAATGTCTGATCTCCGCCCTAAGTTTTTCTAGCCAAGGAGACGTTGAAGAAATTGTCTATTTGTAAGAGTAAATGAAAATAAATAAATCTTAAGAATGTCTTTAGTTTGTAAAAAAAAGTTTATAAAAAATAAAAAAATGAAAGAACATACTTTCGTCATGTTATTTGGATCAAAACCAGCTTGAAATAGTTCTGCTTGTAAATATAAACGATTTTGCAAATTTTCTGCACTTTCTATAAAAGTATTTAAAAATTTTACTCCATATGCTTGTAATTCTCCGGAGCCTCCACCACTATTTAACATTCCGATTAATAAACGGAAACGAACTGGCTCTCCGCATCTCAGTCTTAAAGTTGATAAAGCTTCTGAAACAGCAGCATGACCATTTAGAAGTGTTCGTTGTGTTTGATGTGCTGCTGAACATCTATCACAAGCAGCTGTTAAAAGTTGTAATGCTAAAATTCTTGAACGTATTCCTTGTCCTGTAGCCGAAGCTGCAAGTGGTAATAAACCTACTGGCGTTGAACCCAATCTAGAACTTGCCTCTGGAGAACGACAACAACAAATACTTAAACATTGCAAACATGCTAGTTCATCAAGTAAGGCTCTACGATGATAAGATTGTGTGTTCCTTGGCATAGATGCCGTAGGGTTTTGTTGCGAGTTATGATGTTGTGAATTCAAAGATTGACTTAGTTGTATTGCACGTAAAACTTCTAAAAGAAGACTAACGCCATCTAATGGTGGCGAAACGAATTCTTGCACAAAACTAAAAATATTTAAATTTTATTAAGAAAAGAAAAAAATTTTATTTTGAGCATCTTATTTCTACCTGGGAAAAGATTGTCTTAGGTCAGCTCGCAATTTTATTAATAAATCTGTGATTGAACCAAATTGTCGTAGAGTCATTTCAGATTCAGTCTCCGGGGGTGATGGAATGGGGCTCCTGCAAATATAAAATAAATTGTTAAAAAAAAGCATAAATGAAATTGCAACTACAAAATAATATTGCTGAAAATAAAATTGAAGTACTTGTATTCGGAACATTTTGCTGGTAATGTAGCATATCTGTTATATGAATCTTGTAATTTTTCAGCTGAATCTAATGTCTCATAAATTGATTTAATGTTTGTGCCTAATTGTCTTTTACCATATTTCTTCAATGATGATGCATAGTCTTCCGGATTGAATACCGGTGGTCTTTGATTTTCCTAAAATGAAATTCGGAATTAAAATGTGTTTCAATTTTGTTTTTCAAAATGGTTTGAGTGAAATTATACAATATGAGTGAAACCAAATTTAACAATATAACAATTTGAGTTTATTTTAATTTGAAATATACTCAATGATAAAACATAATAAACTATTGAAAAGTAAAATAAATATTTAAGGTTTATGTCTTGACTAAATATATTAGAGTGAAATTTTTATTAAAAGTATTGTTTTGAGTGAAAAATCATTTGCACTATTTAAAATAAAGGTATGGCAAGTGTTCTAATATATCCCGTATGGTCTAGTGGCTAGGATATCTGGCTCTCACCCAGAAGGCCCGGGTTCGATTCCCGGTACGGGAAATTTTTTATTTTTTTTTTATTTTTTATAGTATTTTTTTTTTTTTAATTTTTTATAATGTTTGCTTATTTGGTAAAGATTAGAGAAATAGTTTAAAAACGTCAAACCTAATCTTTTGCTTCAAGGAAAATGTTTTCAATAGATACTCGTATTTGCTAAAAAATCTGCTAAAAATTGCTAAAAAATTAAACTATCTGTTAAAATATTTGTGCACTTTATCATAAATTTTTTCATATTTCTTAATAAGGACAAAATTCAGATCCTAAGAAGCATTAATGTCATTAATTTTTCTATGAAAATCGCCTTTTTCTAAACTTTTATGTACACTTTTAACTATAGCAAATAAGTTAGATTATTTGTAGTGATGTAGTGAATTCTAAAATTTGAATTAGAAGATAAAATTAGTTGTTTCAATTTAATAGATTACATGCTATGGCTTATTAATAAAAGTCAATCAAACGTTAGATTAGTAAAGTGAATGATTATTCTTGAAGAATAATTTTAAAGTTCAAAGAAACATTAAAATTTTTTGTAATTTGTACCTTTGTTGTAAAATGTTGTTGCCATGGTACTGAAGTATCTCCTGTCATTTTTTTCGTTAATGCAATATTTGTCGCTTGAACTAATTTTGGGGATCCATTCACAATTTGTGCTTCACAATTTGTTCTTGTTGCTGTTATTGCATTCGTTTTACCACCATCAATATTATGACCAGTTAAATTTTGGCATACACTTGGTGCCATTTGATATCCAGCAAAATAAGATGATAACTCACTATATAGAAATAAAATAAAAAAAAAAATTAAAATATTTAAATGCAAAATTAAAGGCAAACAAAAATTTAAATGTACTTAAATATTTTATCAGAGATCCTTTCATTCTTAAATGTATGGAAAATTCGAAACAACGATTTTCATGCAAAAGAAGAGAGAAAAAAAAAACATGATGAAAGAAAATAACAAAACATTTATTGATAAAAATGTCGATAAGATTTACTATTGTGAACGTTGGTACAATAATCAAGATCATACAAGACTAGTAGTAGCACTTTGACCGTATAAGGATTAAGCATGATTTTTGAAAAAGATCTCTTGAAATTTTACTTTTATTATTTTTTAATTCCAAAAAAAAACTGAACAAATATATGATTAAAGTCAAAAGGTAACTAAAACTCTGACTCTTCTTGTACAACAAGATTATGTTAATATACAAAAAAAATAAATAAAACAAATACTTGACACTCTAAAAACCATAACTTAAAAAGAAAAAATATAAATTCGCGTAGGATCTTATCATCATCATCATCATCATCAACGACATCGTCTTCAAAATAGCAAAAGACTTGTTCACGAAGAAGCAATAATAATAATAATAACAAAATAACAAAAAATGTAAAATAATAATGGTTTCAAGTTTATCAAGTCAAGTTCAACTCTCATCATCTATGTATGCTGAAATTTCTATGTACTTTTACGCTTAGACATAAGAGTCATAAGAATCATACACATATGCATACATATTTAATTTTTTTATGTAATTATATTTTTAGTTTATAATATTGGTGTTGCGCTTCAATCGATTGAACTAACAGAGTGCATTTGCCTTATATTCCAAATTTCTACCAATAATTCAATATAAAATTAGTTTTAATAACAAACATGCATTTAAATATATGTAGTTAAATTAACACTTCTCGAATTTACGCTATATGCATAGATATTGCAATACAATAAACGCACACTTCAACATTAAGTAAATGGAGAGGAAAACACACTAATAGAACTGAAAACACAAAATAACCGAAAAGGAGTGGTAAAAGTGATGAATTAGGTTGATATTTTTGCATATTAATAAAAAGTTGTTTCTTGAATAACCCACTGAGTGAGAGTATTATGCATTGTACAATATTTGAGAAAAATTTTATTAAAAAAAAATTTTTTTTTGCATAATTTGAAGAGGTTTTCTTGGTAATACAAACTGCCTATTATTTCACCTCCCGTTACTTAAAGAATTCGAGTGATTCTATACTCCTTCATCGAAAGTAATCATGTGATTTAGTAAACCGATATTGTTTAGTCATGTTTTTGGTATTAATAATCTGACAAATTCTTATATATAATTTATTCCAGTATTATTTTCTTTAATAGAATAATTAAAATATGACAGATTCGTATTAGAATTCTTTCTTCTGTTATTGTTGCACAGTCACGGTAAGTATGCTTGTTACATTGTAATATTGTAAATCTGTAATAAAAGTAAATCTATAAATCACCATTTTAAAGTATAGTTAATTTTAAAATTTAGTTGGAACACTTTTTATTATGCAAAGCATTAACATTACATTAACTTTAAAATTATCATATTGGTTTTACTTTAGCATAAAACAATTTCGGGAGCACGCAGTAACAAGTAGAAAGCAATTGGTATTGTTTAGAAGGGAACAAAGTATTCATGAATATTCAGGCTAATTTATATTTGACGTATCTCGCATGTGTGATTGTCACCTTTTTTTTTGGCATTCTCTACTAGACGCGAAATTTGAGGATCGGAACGCGACAGTAGAAGCAAGACTCGAAATTTTTTAATGTTAAAAAATTAGAAAATTGTTTTACTTTAAAATTGATTTAATTGACTAATAACAAACTGTGAACTAATTGACTGTGAATTAAAAATCTTTTACGTATGTTTTCAACAAAGTTAGTGCCACAATAAGAGAAGTAATAGAAACACTAATTAGATATTTTATTAGTAATATTAATTAACAAAATTAATGAATATTGCTATTGAAATATTTTATTATACTTCGATCTTATCCATTCCCTTTAATTTTTGTTTTACAGAAACTTTTTTAATGTGGCAAAAAAATGCAACCTTTATCAAAAATACATCTAGTAGAATCATTTTTAGGAAGCTTTTTGTGACAAATAGTCAAACGCGCGTCTAGTAGAGTAGAAAATCTGCCACCTCACACATTTTTTAGTGCGGCGGGTCTAGTAGAATACGGCTGATTACAAAGGAACTGGATTGCACACCCTATTTTACGTATAGGTATCCTGTATTGTTATAAATTATAATACCGTGGTACATTATTTGTACAATAATTATTTATTTAATTTTTAATATACACCTAGTGAAATTTCAATTTGCATTCAAATTAAATTAGAGTCTCGTTCTGTGATTATTTAGCATTAACATTTATCTTAAATCGATCTATTTTGACATCAAACATTAGTTAATACTAAATTTCAGCTTTATAAATTTGGAAAAGAGATTATACTCACTACTTATGAGCTTAGGCTCACCGCTTATGAGCATAATTTTAGTTGTCAGTAGTTTTGTTTCAAAATTTTGGTGTTCACATTTATCCTTAATATTAATGGTATATATTTTCCAAAGAGTTCCATAAGTTCTTCAGACATTACGTTTAAATATAGTTTTGAAGAAAGTTGTGCTAAAAACATTTATTTTTTATTATTTAAATAAATACTTAGTTTAAGTGTTATTATCATTTAAAAATTTATTTACAATACTAAATAATTTTCATAGTGCAATAAGTTGGTCTATAAAATAATTTTAATTTGTACAAGTCTATAAATATTTTGTTATTTGTTTCTTTTTATTCTTTATTTTTGTTTCATTTTACAACTTAATGATTCAAAATAGAAATTTTATCATTAATCTATTAGATTGTGATTATTAACATATTATTAAATTTCAAAAACATTATTTTCATTATGATAATTTTTTTGTTTTTGTTATAGTAATTTATAGAATACATCAATAAAAATTTCAATTTTTAATTTTTCACGGTCTAGATGCAAAAAATAGATTTTCTTTTCTAAATAAGCTTAAAGACAGCACATAATAATCATTATTTGGAAAAAGTAAAATATTTCAATTATTATTGCGTCTACAATGTTTTATTATAATAATAATATTAAATTATAATGGTATGTACAATGTATTGTATATAATACTTTTATAAACATATTATTATTATTATGTATGTACTCGTATATAAGTAATAGAATTGAAGTTCAATTTAAAATTTATACAATTATTTATGGTATCGAGACTCGAGGTGAGCGAACATAAATAAAAAAATTATTATTTACTGTAATAATTTTGTAGTTTTCGTTTGCAATATTGGAATGCGTTTTGTTTTATTAAATTTTATATTTTATATAAAATTAACAGGTCTTTTTTACACCCGATTGATAATTATTTATATCTAGATAAATTTAAGTTGTAATAAATATATTGTAACTTAAGCATTTGTACAATATTTTTGTATTGGTTGAATTGAGGAAAGTTGTCGTATACTATTGATTAATTCGGCAGTGTTTTATGAACTTGAAATTTATTATAATATTTAATGGAACTGCAAATTGTGAATTTTTCAATTTGTGTTAAATTTCTAAATATTTGGGAGCTTTAAATATAAATTTCTATTTCAAATTTCAAAATTTTAAAATTCTTCGCATATTGGAAATAAAAACGATAAAAGTTAAAAAAATAATTTTCCATGTTCACCATTTGAGGTAATTACTTGCCGGAAACTAAGTGATAATTTATTGTCAGAATTAATTAAGCATTGACAGTATTCTAATATATCATACAAGAACCAAAATAATAGAGTTATAAACCTTATCAGGATGCAAAGATGTATTTCAAAAGTTTGTACTTATATGAACCAAGAAATTCGATTTGCTCTTGAGAAAAATGTTTGCTTTCTTACGTTTTGAAGAGGAGCTGACTTAAGAGAGGAGCCGTTTAATTACATTAAAGTGAAATTTTTTGGTAGCTTTCAAATTGTGAAGTCCATCTATGCATCCTTATTAAGTATGTTTATAACTATATACAATAAATTTAATAACTTTATATAAACTTGAGCGTTACATAAAAATTTTATGCATGTTCCTGCAAAATTAAGTTGCACTTGAAGTACTAAGTCTATTAATATTGTTAAAGACTTGGTTGGCTTTAATGTTAGAAAATTATTAGACAAGAGCATTGTCAAGATAATAAATGAAATTAATAGTAAAAATATAATGAAAATGAAAGCAAAAATACAGAGGATATTATATTTACTAGTTTGCATAAAAATTTGAATATAATATTAATAAAAAATTTTCAAATATTTTAATTGAACAAAAAGTATTTATAATGAAAAATAATGTTGTAGATTTTTCAAGTTGGAGTGAAACTGAAAATAAAGTTGGGTCAAACCAATGGTTTGTAAAGTAGCACTTTTCCCTTTAAGAAGTCGAAATACTGCTTTTAAAAATAATCTAATTCATTATTAAAATTTAAATCATTAATTTACAGAAATATTTCAAAAGATTGCATATATTTAGGATGAGATAAGAAAAAAAATGAAAGAGGCGTTAACACAATACTCGAATTTAAGGGAAAACCTTGCAGTTATAGAAATTTGGAAAAGCTAACAGTTTCGGAAGTATATAGTTCCGATAATTCAAATTTTACAAAATTCGAGAGATGATAGCTTAAGAGGAAGGTGGAGGTGGAAAAAATTTTTAACGTTTGTCAAAAATTTTTATTGCATTTGAAAACATTTTTATTGCATAGAAAAAACACAATGTCAAAAATGGGAAAAAAACGGTTTTATGTACCAAGGTTAATTTTAGCAGCCATTTTGTCTTTTTAATATTTAATTAGGTTGTGCTGCGGTAGGAGAAGCCATCTATTTATATATGAGATTTCATTCTATCTTCAAGGGTGCAGAAGTTTTGTAAACGGGTTCACGAACGGACAGAATGGGACTAATAAGCACTTTTTTCAATTTTGGTTTAGAAAAATACTAAAAATCTAAATAAAGCATTAATAAGCTTAAAAAGAGAGTGAAATGAAATGTTTAGCATTTTGAAATTTGTTAAATAAAGGTTAGACATTTTTTGGTGTTATATTACAACTATAATTTTGTCAATGAAATTATTTAATTTTGACTCTGTAACTGTGCACTCTGTTAAGTTTAACTAAAGGCCTACAGTCAAATTATCCTTCTTTTATATCATTTATTAGAGTTTAATAAAATACTATTAATTCCTATACAAATCGTTCAAAGTGTAATTTAATTTAAAGTTAATCAATTGCAAGCTAGACTTGATGACTATAATTAATAATATTTTATAAATTTATGGTTAATCTAATAGTAGAAATTTTATTTGTGAAATTCATAAAATAAAAGAAATTTATACTTAATAAGATGATAGTCTCAAAAATCGAGTAAAATAGTTTTCCTTTTTCTGTATTATGAACGTACACTGGTGTAATAAGTGAAAGTTCATAATCTTCACATTTGAAATTTTTTAAATAACTAAAATTATGCATTGGTAATAATGTAAACTGCTAAAAAATAACAATAAATGTTAAAAATAGTATATTAATAAATTCTGGCTTAAAATACTTTAGAGGAATATTTGATAAATTCAATTAAAAGTGAAATGATAGTAAGTGTTGTCATAATTCTAAA